GAACATTTATCAATACAATTTTCCGTTATTCAAGAATCCGGCAAAAATTCTGGCCAAATGAAGATATTTTCTTGTGTTTGACCTTGTATCTCCACTCACAGACGAAGAAATTTTTTTATACTCCCTGAAATTGACCGTATTATAGTGCTCTAACTATTTGAAGAGTTTAAAGAACATTTATCAATACAATTTTCCGTTATTCAAGAATCCGGCAAAAATTCTGGCCAAATGAAGATATTTTCTTGTGTTTGACCTTGTATCTCCACTCACAGACGAAGAAATTTTTTTATACTCCCTGAAATTGACCGTATTATAGTGCTCTAACTATTTGAAGAGTTTAAAGAACATTTATCAATACAATTTTCCGTTATTCAAGAATCCGGCAAAAATTCTGGCCAAATGAAGATATTTTCTTGTGTTTGACCTTGTATCTCCACTCACAGACGAAGAAATTTTTTTATACTCCCTGAAATTGACCGTATTATAGTGCTCTAACTATTTGAAGAGTTTAAAGAACATTTATCAATACAATTTTCCGTTATTCAAGAATCCGGCAAAAATTCTGGCCAAATGAAGATATTTTCTTGTGTTTGACCTTGTATCTCCACTCACAGACGAAGAAATTTTTTTATACTCCCTGAAATTGACCGTATTATAGTGCTCTAACTATTTGAAGAGTTTAAAGACATTTATCAATACAATTTTCCGTTATTCAAGAATCCGGCAAAAATTCTGGCCAAATGAAGATATTTTCTTGTGTTTGACCTTGTATCTCCACTCACAGACGAAGAAATTTTTTTATACTCCCTGAAATTGACCGTATTATAGTGCTCTAACTATTTGAAGAGTTTAAAGAACATTTATCAATACAATTTTCCGTTATTCAAGAATCCGGCAAAAATTCTGGCCAAATGAAGATATTTTCTTGTGTTTGACCTTGTATCTCCACTCACAGACGAAGAAATTTTTTTATACTCCCTGAAATTGACCGTATTATAGTGCTCTAACTATTTGAAGAGTTTAAAGAACATTTATCAATACAATTTTCCGTTATTCAAGAATCCGGCAAAAATTCTGGCCAAATGAAGATATTTTCTTGTGTTTGACCTTGTATCTCCACTCACAGACGAAGAAATTTTTTTATACTCCCTGAAATTGACCGTATTATAGTGCTCTAACTATTTGAAGAGTTTAAAGAACATTTATCAATACAATTTTCCGTTATTCAAGAATCCGGCAAAAATTCTGGCCAAATGAAGATATTTTCTTGTGTTTGACCTTGTATCTCCACTCACAGACGAAGAAATTTTTTTATACTCCCTGAAATTGACCGTATTATAGTGCTCTAACTATTTGAAGAGTTTAAAGAACATTTATCAATACAATTTTCCGTTATTCAAGAATCCGGCAAAAATTCTGGCCAAATGAAGATATTTTCTTGTGTTTGACCTTGTATCTCCACTCACAGACGAAGAAATTTTTTTATACTCCCTGAAATTGACCGTATTATAGTGCTCTAACTATTTGAAGAGTTTAAAGAACATTTATCAATACAATTTTCCGTTATTCAAGAATCCGGCAAAAATTCTGGCCAAATGAAGATATTTTCTTGTGTTTGACCTTGTATCTCCACTCACAGACGAAGAAATTTTTTTATACTCCCTGAAATTGACCGTATTATAGTGCTCTAACTATTTGAAGAGTTTAAAGAACATTTATCAATACAATTTTCCGTTATTCAAGAATCCGGCAAAAATTCTGGCCAAATGAAGATATTTTCTTGTGTTTGACCTTGTATCTCCACTCACAGACGAAGAAATTTTTTTATACTCCCTGAAATTGACCGTATTATAGTGCTCTAACTATTTGAAGAGTTTAAAGAACATTTATCAATACAATTTTCCGTTATTCAAGAATCCGGCAAAAATTCTGGCCAAATGAAGATATTTTCTTGTGTTTGACCTTGTATCTCCACTCACAGACGAAGAAATTTTTTTATACTCCCTGAAATTGACCGTATTATAGTGCTCTAACTATTTGAAGAGTTTAAAGAACATTTATCAATACAATTTTCCGTTATTCAAGAATCCGGCAAAAATTCTGGCCAAATGAAGATATTTTCTTGTGTTTGACCTTGTATCTCCACTCACAGACGAAGAAATTTTTTTATACTCCCTGAAATTGACCGTATTATAGTGCTCTAACTATTTGAAGAGTTTAAAGAACATTTATCAATACAATTTTCCGTTATTCAAGAATCCGGCAAAAATTCTGGCCAAATGAAGATATTTTCTTGTGTTTGACCTTGTATCTCCACTCACAGACGAAGAAATTTTTTTATACTCCCTGAAATTGACCGTATTATAGTGCTCTAACTATTTGAAGAGTTTAAAGAACATTTATCAATACAATTTTCCGTTATTCAAGAATCCGGCAAAAATTCTGGCCAAATGAAGATATTTTCTTGTGTTTGACCTTGTATCTCCACTCACAGACGAAGAAATTTTTTTATACTCCCTGAAATTGACCGTATTATAGTGCTCTAACTATTTGAAGAGTTTAAAGAACATTTATCAATACAATTTTCCGTTATTCAAGAATCCGGCAAAAATTCTGGCCAAATGAAGATATTTTCTTGTGTTTGACCTTGTATCTCCACTCACAGACGAAGAAATTTTTTTATACTCCCTGAAATTGACCGTATTATAGTGCTCTAACTATTTGAAGAGTTTAAAGAACATTTATCAATACAATTTTCCGTTATTCAAGAATCCGGCAAAAATTCTGGCCAAATGAAGATATTTTCTTGTGTTTGACCTTGTATCTCCACTCACAGACGAAGAAATTTTTTTATACTCCCTGAAATTGACCGTATTATAGTGCTCTAACTATTTGAAGAGTTTAAAGAACATTTATCAATACAATTTTCCGTTATTCAAGAATCCGGCAAAAATTCTGGCCAAATGAAGATATTTTCTTGTGTTTGACCTTGTATCTCCACTCACAGACGAAGAAATTTTTTATACTCCCTGAAATTGACCGTATTATAGTGCTCTAACTATTTGAAGAGTTTAAAGAACATTTATCAATACAATTTTCCGTTATTCAAGAATCCGGCAAAAATTCTGGCCAAATGAAGATATTTTCTTGTGTTTGACCTTGTATCTCCACTCACAGACGAAGAAATTTTTTTATACTCCCTGAAATTGACTGTATTATAGTGCTCTAACTATTTGAAGAGTTTAAAGGACATTTATCAATACAATTTTCCGTTATTCAAGAATCCGGCAAAAATTCTGGCCAAATGAAGATATTTTCTTGTGTTTGACCTTGTATCTCCACTCACAGACGAAGAAATTTTTTTATACTCCCTGAAATTGACCGTATTATAGTGCTCTAACTATTTGAAGAGTTTAAAGGACATTTATCAATACAATTTTCCGTTATTCAAGAATCCGGCAAAAATTCTGGCCAAATGAAGATATTTTCTTGTGTTTGACCTTGTATCTCCACTCACAGACGAAGAAATTTTTTTATACTCCCTGAAATTGACTGTATTATAATGTTCTAACTATTTGAAGAGTTTAAAGAACATTTATCAATACAATTTTCCGTTCTTCAAGAATCCGGCAAAAATTCTGGCCAAATGAAGATATTTTCTTGTGTTTGACCTTGTATCTCCACTCACAGACGAAGAAATTTTTTTATACTCCCTGAAATTGACCGTATTATAGTGCTCTAACTATTTGAAGAGTTTAAAGGACATTTATCAATACAATTTTCCGTTATTCAAGAATCCGGCAAAAATTCTGGCCAAATGAAGATATTATCTTGTGTTTGACCTTGTATCTCCACTCACAGACGAAGAAATTTTTTTATACTCCCTGAAATTGACCGTATTATAGTGCTCTAACTATTTGAAGAGTTTAAAGAACATTTATCAATACAATTTTCCGTTATTCAAGAATCCGGCAAAAATTCTGGCCAAATGAAGATATTTTCTTGTGTTTGACCTTGTATCTCCACTCACAGACGAAGAAATTTTTTTATACTCCCTGAAATTGACCGTATTATAGTGCTCTAACTATTTGAAGAGTTTAAAGAACATTTATCAATACAATTTTCCGTTATTCAAGAATCCGGCAAAAATTCTGGCCAAATGAAGATATTTTCTTGTGTTTGACCTTGTATCTCCACTCACAGACGAAGAAATTTTTTTATACTCCCTGAAATTGACCGTATTATAGTGCTCTAACTATTTGAAGAGTTTAAAGAACATTTATCAATACAATTTTCCGTTATTCAAGAATCCGGCAAAAATTCTGGCCAAATGAAGATATTTTCTTGTGTTTGACCTTGTATCTCCACTCACAGACGAAGAAATTTTTTTATACTCCCTGAAATTGACCGTATTATAGTGCTCTAACTATTTGAAGAGTTTAAAGAACATTTATCAATACAATTTTCCGTTATTCAAGAATCCGGCAAAAATTCTGGCCAAATGAAGATATTTTCTTGTGTTTGACCTTGTATCTCCACTCACAGACGAAGAAATTTTTTTATACTCCCTGAAATTGACCGTATTATAGTGCTCTAACTATTTGAAGAGTTTAAAGAACATTTATCAATACAATTTTCCGTTATTCAAGAATCCGGCAAAAATTCTGGCCAAATGAAGATATTTTCTTGTGTTTGACCTTGTATCTCCACTCACAGACGAAGAAATTTTTTTATACTCCCTGAAATTGACCGTATTATAGTGCTCTAACTATTTGAAGAGTTTAAAGAACATTTATCAATACAATTTTCCGTTATTCAAGAATCCGGCAAAAATCCGGCAAAAATCCGGCAAAACGCTCTCAAGTAGCCCTCGCGGCGCGTGACTTATCTAGCACGATATTTGCTCAAAAGCGCGTCACTGTGCCAGAAACCTCGTGGTACCGTAACACTGTAGAAACTTAGAAATAGATAATCACAAGAGACACAATAAAAGTATCATCACTATGCAAAGTTAATGTTAAAATGATACAATAGCCCTGCTTTAACAGATTAATCCACATAAACACTATATTTCTACAGATGCCACCGATCAGTAAATCGAACATAGCTGATAGAATTCGTTTCTACATTGAAAGATTTCTTTTCTAATCTCCTTTATGAGTGCTGTCTTTGTTAAAGTGTTATCATCTCTATCCGCATCTATTGTTGCGGCAAGATTAGATGTCGAAACAAACTCGTCTTACCGACATTGTCTTTCTGAAAACTGATGTGATCAGATTAAACATTGCTGGAGTTTGCAGCGTTCTCAGATAAATTAGACGTCACATAGTCATTGTACTTAAGCTTCGGGTCAGACACGAGGTACAGTTCTGGTAAAACATTCTCCTGCTCCAGTTAAAAGGTCCGTACAGCGTCAATACCTGCACTCATTAATGCAGCATTGGTGTTGTCGTGCGTGGACACGTGTCTTTCCATTTAAAAACCTGCCTTAGAGACAGGTTTTAAACTTACAGCTTCAGATAATTTACCCTTCAATTGTTTCACCCTCGAGTTGCTGTACCTCAAACGACATGTTTTGTGATATCTACCTAGCTTGCTATAGAGATATTTTCCGAGACTCTCAGGGTTAAGAACAGGGCACTTGGTCATGTGCGAATCAGGATTAACATCGATGTTGCACAGATCCTGACGATTTCTGTAGATGTCCACAGATAGTATGTTGCGAAATCGACGAAGAAACTTTTATCTTTTCCTTGAATCAGACTATCCTTTTTCGTTTCTAACGTCTTATCTAGGGAAATTCGTATTGTTAAAGAAGAATAACCTCTGATACTCTTAAAATTAAATCGAGATAATATGTTACATAATAATTATATTTGCGAGCAAAAGTGTCACACAAACCTGTTCAACCTGGCATATGAAACACAAGTCTCAGTCCATTTCAAACAAATCAACATCTGGTCCACTTGATTGGGAACTAAATGAAGAAAGTCTCCACATTTTCTAAGTTCTATTCGAGGAGGGTGACAAAGGCGGGACTTTTTCCACTTGGATGGCAATAGCTTCTTCAATCTTCATCACAAGAGGATTCGTCAATTTCAGAAACAGCACTGTACACCTGCAAATACTTTATTACTTACCACGTTTATATCAACAGTATCATATCACATAAGTTTGAGATCGTACAAGTGTTATATCATTTTAAAAGTTTGCAAATCCGATAGAAATGGATTGAAAATTACTACTCGCTGTCTATTTACCTTTGAATAATAATGTTTTTAAATGTTAGTAAAACAGGAGGAAACCACTCACCCTGTTATAGTTGTCTTTTACATAGTTAAGACACTGAATACACAAAAAAGAGGTTTGATTTGGTGAGCACAACCCAGGATTGATCTTCTGCAGCAGGGCGAGGAATTTTCTAGACTGTTTTGTCATTCGTTCACTTTCAGAGCGGAAGAAAACTGTTTCATTAAAATCCTTTATTTCTATTCGGGTACAGATACAGCACTCTAAAAATTGATGAATGGTCACATTTTTGTATACCCTACGGCAAAGTCTTATGTCTGTGGTAAAAGAATGATATTCTTTAAATAGTTTTTCATTAAAGCCTAAACTTAACTTCTACCAATTCAAAATTGTTTACGTCGGTCTCCCCTCCTTGAGCCACTTTTCACATAGCTATTGAGTATAAATCACTCTAGCATATTACAGTGAACTGTGCTCTAGTGCATGATTGACTTTACATAATGCAGAGCATGCAAAGTTTTGATGTTTCATAAACTTATGAATAAAGTTTTAAAAATCGTGACATAAAAAGCAGTGGTCGCCCGGTGCCCCGGCCAAAATCACAACCCCCCGCCCTTCCCGGCCCCGGCCAAAAATTGGCAATTCGCCGGGGGTAAACCCCGGCCCCGGCCAATTCTCAGTGGTCAGCCCCGGCCATATTGGGGCTCCCCGGCCCCGGTCAGAATCCTGCCCCCGGTCGACCACTGATAAAAAGTTAACTCACTGGATTTGTCCAAAAGCGAGAGAAAGTACTGAGAAAGCACTTATACGTCACCACCAGAGGGCCTAGAGAGGTTATCTTTGTCTGTTTAATTGAATATTGAGTATATAATATGAGATTTAAGATGAACATGATAGATATAACGTCCAAATTCTAAAGTTCCACCAAAATTGAGTCACATTAAACTTGGTTAATACAACAATTTTAGTTCTTCATTATAGTAGGTGATTTGACATAATGAAGACTAAATTATTATTTATAATAATTACCTGTCGGAGGGATTTAAGTGTTCCTTTGAACAGTCCTTTTCTGGAAGGTTGACAGCTTTCCATACATCCAGAGATTGGATTTGTCCTTCTTTCGGGCATATGCAATCTTTGATATGATGCCTTGTACATTTTGAAACCCTGCAGTTATCATTATTCAATACTTATAGAGCCTATAAGGGGTTAGGAGTCGTTCACATAATATTGTGTAATTGCAATATACATGTAGTAAGGTTACTGTACGTTTCCAACCCTTTGTCATGTATATCACAACAGATGATGTTAAAAGCATAATAATATTATGATACAGTTTTACAGTTTTTGTTATGTGTTGATAATCTAGCTCTTATCTCTATTTTATCGCTACATTACAACTGCCATTTTGCTGGTACTGTGTTTTTACTTTATACAAGTACAAGTAAACGATGGAGGAAATGGATACTCTTCAAAGATTGTCAGTTTATTCTACCTACATTACTGAAGAGTATGAGGTCTATAACGGTTGGATCACTGAACTCGCGGAAGCTACGAACTGTTAGTGACAATAAATCTGAGTTTTCAGTTGAAACGTTCAAAAAGCCAGTGAAGTCAGTTTCAGTAAAACATTTGTAATTTGTATTCTGCGTATCAGACTACCGATAATCATGTAAGTACGTTTCTGGATAACAAGAAAGATATGGAGGAGTTGAAGAGCGATCTTATCCGATCGCAAAGTACTGTTATCAAGCTGCAGGCTGAACTTCTGGAAACTAAATCAAAGCAGTTGGAATCTGTGCACTCGGCACTCCACCGTCAAGACCGCCGTTCAAGACACTGTCCAAGCTGAGATGAAGTCATACAGTCAAGCTGTGACTAAAAATACACCTGTGCTTGCAGAAGAGAGTTTAAAAAAGGTTGTACAGAATGCTGTATCGGAAGAGGATCGCAGTAGGAATGTGCTCATCTTTGGTTTGAAGGAGACTGATGAAGAGGAACTGTGCAATAAAGTTACCGTGATTTTTCAGCAGATTGAAGAAAAACCGCATTTTGAAGCTATCTGGGTTGGGAGAAAATCAGCCAACAAGACGAGACCAGTCAAAGTTTCGCTAGGTAATTCTAACTTACCGTTCATCAGATATTAGTAAATGCCAAAAAGCTGAGACTGTGTGAAGATCATAAGACTGTTTTCATCTCTCCAGATCGATCACCTGAAGATCGAGCTATCCATCAGCGGTTGGTCTTGGAAATGAAACAGATAGCCAAAGCAGGCATGGCTCCACCGTGTAGTTTCGGGTGGGTGCGCACCCACCCAAAGGATGTTGCACCCACCCAAACGATTTGAAAATGTTCACACAAAAATTGTCCAATTTTGTATAAACTAAGGGTCAATTGACTTCTGTAATCAATTGAGACTGTTTTGGAGATATTAAAATACGTTTAGGAGAGTAAAATCCCCCCCGCTGTGCGCCAAGCTGCACCCACCCAAAGATTTTGAGCTGGAGCCATGCCTGAGCCAAAGAAGACACAAAAAAAACATTATTATATCAGAAGTGGTAATATTTGTAGTGAGGAGAAGATGTTAGAGAGTGATACATAATAATGAGTGATATACGTCCATAAGTTTTAAATTTTGATTGTTGTTATAAGCGGGATAAAAATAATTTATTTCATTTGTATTGGACGGGACATACACAAAGATGCTACGCATGGTGCTGGGTATCTCATGGAAGGACAAGGTCAGCAATATAACTTTGTATGGTAGTCTACCAAGCCAAGGCTGTCAAACAAGTTACGAAGCAGGAGACTAAAAATGGCGGGACACTGCATCAGACATCCTGAGCTACTTGCCAGTGATTTAGTCTTATGGAAACCTATGCATGGTAGAGCACAGCAAGGCCGACCAAGACAAAGCTACTTGTCTATGTTACTGAAGGAAATTGGGACAAACTCAAAAGAGGATTGAGGAACTGTGAACCCTGATGCGGGACAGGGATATATGGAGGGGGTTATCTGGCGTAGATCGGACTTAGTTCCGACAAAGTAATAGTATTTCATTTCATTTCATTAATAACCTGCATAGTTGAAAAGTTGATTGATGTAGTTTCGATAAACAGGGCGTCGTTCAACTCCACTCATTTCGTTCCAAGCTGGAATGTAGTATTGTTTAGTGTAGGTTTGTTCATGTACCTCTCATCATCAAAAGGTTTCAACTTATACAGCATCGATAACATCATCTAAAAAAGCTGTTTGAACAGCTTAAGATTCAGTTAAAATTACTTTATTCAGATACAGTTTTCGAAATGAAACATTGTCAGCCTGTATTTAATTAATTATAATAATTATGGTAATTTAGCTAAAAATCAAACCATTTGAGTTTTCATTGTTATCAAAATAATGTCGATCTAAATTCTTCTTAATCTGCATGGCTGTGAGCGGATTGAAGTCTTTCAACAAACGACACAAGCTTCTTTCATCAAGAAGATTCTTGAAGTGATCCGCATGTACACAGAGAACTGTCTTAGCTAGTTCTGGGTCCATAAACATGTCACCTTCTTTCTAATGGTGATTGTCAAGTTTGTTCAGCAACATAATTCAGAATTACAGAAATTATTTGAATCTACTAGAGATGAAATGGCTTAAATAACTTGGCAATAGATGTAACTAAACAATACATATTGTAATTTGACTACTTCTTTGAAACAATCAAAAAACGGGGGAGCTAAGGGAATGATTGCTCAAAACGAATGATATCTTCATGAATTCAATGCAGCATCTATACATTTATTCGAAATTAGTGATGGATGAGGGGGTTTAAGTCAGGCATTCCTGACATTTACTCTACTACTATTTATAAATTCAAAATCATGTTAAGAAGATAGCAGCAACTAATCTATATTATTCACCGTGCTCTATTTTATGTGTACTGAAGAGTGCCTTTACAATATTCCACTTTGTGGTGTAGATTTCCTCCATATCCAACAGGCAACACTGAATGAGTTTTGGATGAGGGGGTTTAAGTCAGGTGTTCCTGACATGTATTCAAAATTGCATTGAGAAGATAGCAGTAACTCATCTATATTATTCACCGTGCTCTATTTTATGTGTACTGAAGAGTGCCTTTACAATATCAGTGGTGTAGATTTCCTCCATATCCAACAGGCAACACTGAATGAGTGATGGATGAGGGGGTTCAAGTCAGGCATTCCTTTCAAAAGATCTATAATTAATCTTGTAAGGGTACCACACAGTAGACATTATATTGTTGATTGTGAACCAAAAGTTTATTCATACCCACAATCGATAAATTATAAATCCAAATAGTCATATAAGCAATGCAATACTAAATTTGTGAAATTGTATTAACAGAAGGATATCAGCCAAGTAAAGGTATCTCAACAATATAACATTGAAGTATTAGAAATGGCACTCTACTATTATAAAACACTTTACTGTACTGTATTAAACAATATTAAATGAAATTAAGCCAGAGAAGGCATGAGCTTCAGAAAAGGACAAAACACTAACGGTACAAAAACTTAAATGAGTTTCAGGGAAGGGTTACTAAAATTTTACGGTAGCGCTCGATTTTATTCAAAAATTTTCAAAGTGCTCAGCTCCACGAAAAATATAATTTTTTCTTCCGCTTTCAAAACTTGTTTTGACGCTGAAAAACTATCAAATAGTATTATTGAACAGTATTAAAACACTTTGTGGGCAAAAATATTTCATTGTGGGTGCATAAAGAGCCGAAAAAATTTAGCGCGCAAAAAAACAGTTTTTTTGGGAGGTTTTTTAAAATTTTGACCGGGTTAACTCTTGTGTGTGCTTATTATATTGGTATTAGCTAGTGCGGCAAATAAAAATGTACAAGAAACCAAAATATCTAAGCTTTTCCATTGAATTAACCTGTCGAAATTTCTAAAAAACCTCAAAAAATGGCCATTTTTAGGGCCAAAAATCGGTTTTTTCAAAATAAAACCGGGTTAACCCCATTTTCAACACTTCCCACTATCACCAATCGATTCAGGGGCCAAAAATACGTCTTTTAAGACATGTCTGATGACTCTGGTGTATCGAGCAGAAAATCCCCGTAACAGCTCCTACTATAAGTAAAAATAGAGGCACATTGTCATATGAGGCCTTGTCATTCTTGAGCGTTTCGACATACATTAGGATATCAGTTTCATTTATTTCTTGGAATCTATCAAATGAGATATTAGAAGTTCTAGGAGGTAAAAAATCAGTAAAACTAACTCTTTCAATATTGGGGGCCTGATTTTGTAATCTTGATCCAACATTTGCAAAATGAAAGTTAAATAGCTCAGGATCATTCTCATTGATAGTTTGACAATTAGTTGTACCAGGGGTCATATTTGATGCCAGTTTGATAGTTTTCCATATCCCTTTAAGATCATTCTTGGCACTTTTAACTTGTAGATCATCGATTACATTAGCCTTTTTGCAGGTTTTAGCTAATTTATTTCTAATATTTCTCTGAATCTTGTAGCAATCCCAGGCCTCATTACACTTTATACATTTGCTACATGTACCACATTTATTGCAATTTCCATTGTCTCTCTTATCCTTCTTTTTACGGAATTTCTTTAGAAGAAAATGTGTATGATTAATGGCATTTAAAAGTTCAGTAGAAGGTTTATGTATGAACTTTTCATGCCTTTCTATGGTCTTGCAAGGGAAGAAGGTTGCATATGCCTGTTCAATATGATGACAAAGGCCAGCAGTGATAGCTTCAACATCTGTACTTTCCAATAGTGGACTGTAATCAGAACAGGTATCTAGATAGTCTAAGAATTGTTTAACATTACGTTTACAATGATTTCTAATTTCAACCTTCTCAAATTTAGGAGCTATAGGTACTTTACAATCTATCTCACACATAATAGCTTGATGATCTCCAATACGTTCATCAAGAACAGAAGATTGGACAAAATCTGCATAACAGTTAGTGAATATTACATCAATAGTAGTCTGGGTAACATTGTCTCCACGTTTAGCAACTCTAGTTATCCCTTGAATGGTTTGAACTAGATTGTAACATCTCAAGGTCATATCTAATTTTTTGTACTGGGTGGATGAGATATTATTCTGGTCAATGTTTATATCCCCAATCCAGATAACCTTTTTCCCATTCAATTTTTTCATGCAAAAATGAATGTATTCAATAAAGTTATCAACACTGCAATAATTTCCAGAGCGATAGAAGCAGCAAACATTGATCTTGCTATTCTTAAGCTTCACCCATAATGCTTCAATGTTATCAAGCTTACTATCCATAACTAATTCTGTGTAAGCTAGTTTTTTGTTTATCATTAAGCCACAACCACCCCTAGAACTGTTTGGCCTGTCGCATCGCATAAGGTTGAAGGAGGAAGGAATATTTATGGTGTCTGTGTCAATAGTATCATTAGGATTCATCTCATTTAGGGAAAGTATGTCTAATTTATGATCTCTAATAAGTTGGGAAAGTTCATTACTTTTAGCTAAATTGAGAAGCCCTCCTTGAATGTTACAATGACCAATGCAGAGGTTGTGAAACCTATCAGCTGCATTATTAAAATTTGTCATCTTGTGAATCTTATTAATTCACAATGGAATGAATAAAAGTTGTAAAGTTGTGTTTAAACTAAAAAACAGAATAAAAGCAGGTTGTATTTGTCTGGATGTCGTACTGTAAAAATAAAACTGATGGTAGGAGTGTTATGTCAGTATTCAGCAGTATTCTAATGGTGTGCATGATACTTCAAGTGCCTTGCTAATTTAACTATGCCATAATCATTGAGATGGACATTATCCTCTCCATAACTACTAAAAAATGACGATTTTCTAAAGCCTTTCTTATCACTAAACAAGAAACGATTTGTCTCGGTTGAGAGCAGTTTTACATAGGTGTATTTTCTTTGCAGATTTGATATACACTCATTGATATCAGTTATAACCTTGTTTCTGGAGAAACTCTCCCGAGGTAATAAGTTAACAATTTTAATATCAGCTCCAGGTGCCCACTTGTGAAGGAAAAGTACAAGTTTTTCAATACAATTGTTTGTAAAGTCAAGAGCTCTAGCATCACCAGAAAAACTATCAGGGCACAGAAGTTTAGTCCTCATGTTGCGAGGGCTGTTCAGGATAGAGTCCACGTCATTTGTACCACACATAAGTACAATGCTTTTCGCATTATTGGTATTAAGAGTGTCTTTTCTTACATCTGATTGAAACCGTTCATTGATTGCATTGGCTGTGGCACCAGGGTAGCTGAATACATGTGCCTCATGATGTTTGGACGATAGCTTTTCTCCCTCTAATTTGGAGAACATACTAGAGCTAATGTAGACACACAAAGATTTACCAGAATGTTCTATTGATCTAGTCTTAGGGGCCGAGGGTTCAGTGTTCTTAACTTGACTGGAAACATCAGACAGAGTAGATAAGGTTGCGCTGCCATCAATTAGGCGCAGAGTAATGCTTATTCTCATGGTTTCAGACTTGTCCTGGATGAGGCTGTGTTCAAAGCTGGTCTGGGATTGTCTGGTCATATTCATTATGTCACCATGGGAGAGGGTGAGGTCAGCAATATGAGCTCTAAGTTTGGATCTGAAGCTTAGGACTCTAGTAGCCCTTAAAGAGATGGTGGAGATCATGGAGCCTGGTGAAATTGACCTCTCGTCATCCGAGTGAAAGGGAATTCCTTGCTGACCATTTCTATACTTGGTAATCATAGCACTATTGAATTTCAATTTTGGGAACTGTGAGCGTAAGCGTTCTAGAATAGACTTTAGGTATGGATTGTCTGCTACTGGCCTTGTGTTATGAAACCCTCCATTGTAAGCGTAGGGAAAGTCCCCGTAATATGCAACTGCCCTATTCTTAAACTTATGAGTATAGTGGGTTTCTATATCTAACTTGGCAGTGTCAACAAACTGAAAAACTCCTCGACTCAAATCTTGGTATGGATTGATAGAGTTGGTCACATCATTGTCACCATTTACAGAGTTTTTGGGATTTTCCAAATTGATAATTTCTGCTGAATGTTCACTGTCTTCTGCTAATTTGGATAGCTCTTGGGTTAACTCAGAAACAAGATGCGAGGATGACCTATTACTGAGGGGAACATTGATAGAATGTTCACAGTGATCAGGTACCTGGGGCAATACAGGGATAAGTGAACCATCGCTGAGGGGAACTTTGAGTGCACTGTCACTTTCTGATAATTGTTTATAGAGAAAAGAAATTTGCCGACGAAGACTATCATTCTCTCTTAATAGAGTTAAACAATTTGAACATTTATCAGTAGGACAAGAGCCGTTGCTGGGGAATTTAACAGAATTCCCTCGATATCTCAGATTGTAATGTCTTGAGCCAACTGGTATTCTAGACATAGTTTATCACAAAAAGATGCTACTGTTCGAAATTTAGTTAATGATTACAGTACCTTTGTAGCACTCCGGAGGATAACGATAAGTGATGTCTGATAATCTTTAGGTGATAGATGGGAGTAAACTGCTTTAAAAACCGATGTCTGATAGTCCTTAGGATGTCTTTAAGATAACTTTATCGTGCAACAACCATTTACATTGACATACAACCTGTAATGGTCGTTACATTTACCGAGGCATTAGTTCCCACTGGGGGTCCTCAAATTATTTGTTATATAGTAGTGTTGAAAGTATTAAAATATATAGACTACTTACAAAAATGAGAAATTTGGGTATAAGTGGTAACACTTTAGATATTGTGAAAGACTTTTTATCTGGAAGAAGATTTAAGACATTTGTTGGTGGAGCATATTCCTACCTTCGTGATGTTTTATCAGGCGTCCCACAAGGGTCTGTTTTAGGTCCTTTATTGTTTGTCATTTTTATCAATGACTTGCCTGATTGTATTAATGGTATATCAAAACTGTTTGCAGATGATCTTAAAGTTATTATGGATGCCAATGACACTGAAAGCACTTTCAATATGTTAGAAAGCTTGCAAAACTGGCAAAATGTGTGGCTGTTAAAGTTTAATCCTAGCAAATGCAAAATAATGCATGTTCCATTTAATGAAAATCCCCTTCAAGAATATGTATTTAGTGGTGTTACACTTGAATGTATTGAAGCAGAGAAAGATCTTGGAGTTTTAACTTCTTCAGATTTGAAATGGTCGAAACATATTAAAAGTTGTATTAGTAAAGCAAACAGTATGATTGCATGGGTTACAAGGAATCTCATTATAAGAGAAATTAATGTTATGAGAAATGTTTATAAAACTATAATAAGACCCCACTTGGAGTATTGTGCTCAGTTGTGGTCAGTTGTGGTCTCCACCTGCAGGTGGAGACCACAACTGAGCACAATACTCCAAGTGGGGTCTTATTATAGTTTTATAAACATTTCTCATAACATTAATTTCTCTTATAATGAGATTCCTTGTAACCCATGCAATCATACTGTTTGCTTTACTAATACAACTTTTAATATGTTTCGACCATTTCAAATCTGAAGAAGGTACCTGCCTGCCATGGGAATTGGGCTACTATCATTGAACTGGAAAATGTCCAGAGAAGGTTCACACGCCTTATTGATGATATTGGAACACTTCCTTACAGTGAAAGGTTGGATGCCTTACAGATTACAACACTCGCAGAGAGACGGGTTAGAGGAGATTTGATTGAAGCCTACAAAATTGTAAATGGATTGGTTGAGTATGGAAAAGATATTTTCAATTTAAGTAGATCGGGAGATAAAATTGTTAGCACTAAATCTAACAATATTGATGGAAATATTAAAACCTTGTCTAATAATTTTTTATCAGAGCGTGTTATCAGCTTTTGGAATAAATTGCCATCTTTTGTTAGAAATTCAGTGTCTGTTATTGATTTTAAAATTAATCTAGAAGAATTTAAAAAGACTAATAATTTAGTAGACACAGGCAACTTTTGGGAAGTGTCAAATATAGTTTTAGCAAAAATAGAGGGTGTAAATTATATCGAAAAGAAGAAGCAACAAGTCCAATATTTATATAAAAATCCGTGTGTTGCCAAGAGAAAGGGAATAAATATCTCATGAATTTGTTTTTATTTATTTATTTTTTAAATTAACGGTTTTTAACTTTTTAAACTTTTTTATATGTAAATAAATTATGACAATTATGTTAGTTATAGAATTTGTTTGTTTTTTAATGACGAAGGCTGTGAAATGTTCACAGTTCTGATAATGAGGAAATCAGAAAGAATGTTTAAAACTAGTGATGATGTTTATGTCATTATTCTTAATCTAATCTAATCTAATCTAATCTAATCTAATCTAATCTATCTACTGGGCTCAAGAAAGTCATACAGATAGTCATATTAATAGGTTAAATTTACAGGTTGATAACTTAACAAAACTTAGGAACAATAATACTTAGGAATTAGTAGGAGTGGAAATTAACAACTTTCAGTTTCGTAAATCTTTAATCTATAAAATTAGTAATCAGTGTGTATTTGCTATACTATAAATACTATATACTACATATAAATACTAAATAAATACTATACCAACGATCAGGAGCTTGGAAACTCTCCTTTAGAAGAACAATGGAAGAAATTGAGAGACATTATAACTGATATCTCGTTTGAAGTTCTGGGTGAAAGGGGCCGGAAAAAGAAAACAGAACATCTCTCAAAGGATACTAAGAATCTCCTAAAAGAACGAGGTGAGATTAAAAAGAAACCTAGTACTGCTGAGAATCGTGCTAAGTACTCGCAGATTAACGGTCTTGTTAGGCAGAACTGTAAAAGAGATGATAATGCCTGGGCTGTTAGAGTAGCTGAGGAATTGGAAGAGGCTGCCAAGCAGGGTCAACAAAGAGATGTTTGGCAGAAAATAAAATCCCTTACAAACAAGAGAGTAAACAGATCTGCGGCAGTGCGGGATAAGAATGGGACACTTATATCAGATCCCGAAGCTCAGTCACATCGCTGGGCCGAATATTTTGAAGAACTCTTGACGCCAGCAGCAGATGCGGTGGATTTCTCTCTATTGGATGAGGACGAAAAGGTACTTTCTTTTGAATATCTTAGTAATGATGATGAGCCACCGTCCTTGTTTGAAATTGAGGAAGCTATCAAGAAGTTGAAGAACTACAAAAGTGCTGGAATTGATGAAATTTCAAATGAGCAGTTAAAGTACGGTTCTCCTGGACTTCTGCCTTGGTTAAAAGATTTGTTTGAAACTGTATGGAAAAGTGAGGATATTCCTAGTGATTGGAGGAAAGGAATCATCACCATCATCCCAAAGAAAGGGGACCTCACATATTGCAACAACAACAGAGGGATAACTCTACGCTCCACCGTATCGAAGTTATTTCAAATCGTGTTGTTAAAAAGACTAAGTAATGGGCTTGAAAAGTTACTTAGAGAAAATCAGTGTGGTTTCAGGAGAAACCGTTCTTGTATAGATCAGCTATACTCCCTTCATTGTATAATACACAATTGTATAGAATTCAACGTCCCTTTGTATATAAACTTTATTGATTTTAAAGCTGCTTTTGATTCAATCAATCGTGACTTTATTTGGAAAGCTTTTGAACATTATGGTCTTCCAACAAAATACATCAATGTTTTCAAAGCGTTCTTTAGAGCAACTGAAAGTGCAGTTCGTGTCAATGGGGAATTGACAAGATGGTTTGATGTCGATTCGGGGACTGGACAAGGTGATGTGCAAGGGCCTCCCATTTTCAACCTTGTACTTAACTGGGGATTAGAACTTGCCGAGAAGTTTAAAAATATATCGCGTGGTTTTACTCTTCAGTACAGACAAAGTTCCAGACAACCGGAAAAATGTGTCATTGATTTGGACTATGCTGATGACATAGCAGGCATGGATGACACTGTCGAGGGACTGCAAGAAACAACGGACAATATTGCGAAATACTGTGGGCTTGGGGGTTTAAAGATGAACGCAAAGAAAACAGAGATCATGGTAATTGGGAAAGATACGTCGCAGCACCCACTCCCAGAGAATAGGACCATAGATATTACTGTCGATGGAAACTCTGCAAAGCAGGTCACTCAATTCACTTATTTGGGTGCCAAAATTACATCGGATGGCAAGATCGATAAAGAAATAAGTGTCAGGATTGGAAAAGCAACCGGAGCTTTTAACCAACTCAATAACATTTGGAAGAATAAGAACATAAGCATTAACAACAAAGTGCGAATCTACATCGCAGCTGTTCTTACCATTCTGACCTATGGAAGTGAGATATGGAACACGACTCAAGTGCAGACAAGAAGATTAGAGTCTTTCCATCAGTACTGCTTACGCAGAATCCTGAGAGTGAGGTGGTTCCATCGAGTAAGAAATGAAGATGTTTTAAGAAGGGCTTCAATAACTGCTCTTACTGACATAATAGCAACAAAACGGCTACGTTGGTTTGGACATGTCAGTAGAATGCCTGAAGATCGGTTACCTAACTATCTACTTGAATGGAAACCCAAGCATGGGAAACGATCAAGAGGCAGGCCTAGGAAGAGCTTAAATGATGTATTTATTGAAGATGCTGAGCAGAGATTGGATCGTAATGGACTCACGATTGATTGTATGAGAAGATTGGCTGCAGATCGAAAAGGATGGAGAAATATTACCCGCCGAAGTTGTATAATACAAAGAAATGACGCAGATGACGCAGACTAATCCTTTTGGATGGAGATCTCGCCATGTAACATGTAACATGTATGTGTATTTGCACTTGTGAGAGATTTTAGCATGTGAATAAGAGGTTCATTGAAGAAAATTAATTTTACGAATACACAAGCTCATCATGATATTAGCATACAAATGAAGCATGTGATAGGGCAGAGACATTCAGATTCAATTTCACATATTCAGTAGATGCTAAAATATGGAATCTGATCTGAAGAGCTGTTCTTTAGAAGAACCTTTTGAGGAGAAACTGAAAAAAATATGTAGAATGTTGACATATAAATTGGTTGTTGTCTACACCATTTGATATAGTGATATGTGGAGATTTCTTCATAATTATTCATATATGATCATTATAACTATTGTGCATGGTGGCTAAAGCCGATTAAAATGTTAATGTTTAAAGTATAAAATTTCGGCGGTCACGCCGCGCATTTTGCCGTATTTTTTGCCGCATTTTGCCGTGCCGCTATTTTTAGCCGCATCTTATCAGATATTATTTACAATGTACTCGCACAGTACATGCAGGGCATGCCTCAAGATCATATTAGTGTAGGAATCATTATGTTTTCAACAATTCATTATATGTCGAATTCAGCAGTGGGTCCTCTCTTCGTCCGGTTTGTGTGTTTGTCGCCTGTCTGGACTCTCGTAGTCATGCAATTTTTAATTTTTAATTACTAATTTGTTATTTTAATTTTAATTTTTCAATTTTCTAAATGTGTGTTCTGCTCCGGGACTCGATTACCGTTTCGGCTTTCTTGAGACTGTAAATTTGGAAAGCCAACTATGCGGGGCGCCTGCCCACCGGCACTGAAGAGTGATCAAAGAATTAACTAAAATTTCCTAATATAACAATTGAATATAGAGTTGTTTAACCGGCGCGGCCATGGGTGTGTGGCCTAGCTTTGGCTGCACACCTATGACTGCGCTGTTGCTGGTGGACAGGCGCAGTTTTTGTTGTGCAGTAGTGTTGCAAGAGAATAAAACCAACTTATTATGTACTAAATGGAATCAAGAATATTATTGACTATATTTGATAACGATGAATTGTAAATTTCGATCAATATATATTTTTTCGGTCTCCAATTATTGAACTGCGGAAGCTGGTTGCCTCAACAATGTTGACTATGCATGGTATGACTGAATTGTAAACACGTGATAATTGAACGAAAAATAAATGATGAACATGATTCAAAAACTGTAAACCACCAAATGAATTATCGCTTAAATTTAAATAAGTATTTAAACAAAAACCATCATGTGCCGTTAAGAAGCAGGGCGCGGCTCATCTGGGCCACAGCAATTCGGCGAAAATGGGTTCGAAAAAGCCACTATTGGCACTCGAGTCCTTGATCTTTCCGATGGTTCACTGGGGCTTTTGAGCTGCCGTCCTTCAGCTTCTGTAAACTGAAATTACTACCAATCCAAGTTGAGGCAATCAGCCGACGCGCGGCTTTTATGGTTATATATGATATGTTTAATCTGTAATAAAGATCAAAATTCAAATTTGTTTCTCAAAAAAAATTTGTTTCTCAATTGTGGAATACTGTTAGAGAGGTTTTCTGTGCCCTGGTTTATTTCAGAGTACACTTGTTCATTTAACATCAGTAATTAATATTTTGAACTTAAATATTTAAATATTTGTAGCCTTAAACATGTTGATATTGGTGTTTCGGCAAATCTAAATTTTAAATCTTCAGTAGTCATGAAGAAACTTGTTCCAGATGCTCGGGGAATTTTTAGGATACCACCGTTCTACTATCTACACATACTTGACCAAAGTAGTAACATCACAAAGGTCCTTACTGGCCCAACAACTTTTGTTAGACAAGTAAGTTGAACTCATTTTATGTCACAGTATGACAGCGATGTCGGAGTTTTACTTAATCAAGCAACATTTTCTTATTGTTAACTGTATCTTCAATTCAAATGGTGCTTTCACAGCGAATTTACTCAGCTATATATTGCAGGGACTCAATGCTCATTTTTCAGGACAATGAAGAAGTTGTCGAGGGACCAGAAAAAATGGTTACAGTGCCACCAAACCATTACTGTGTGATTCGTCATCCAGTCATTAGAGACTCTGCTGGAGAAGTTGTCCTTGAATCATCTGGACAGGTTTCATTATTTATTATAACTTCATTTAAGTCTATTTTAATAATGGTTTACTTTTCAGTTTTCTAATTTTATTATCTGTATTATTTATTTTAATGGTAAGTTCACTAGTAATCAGACGATTTTAATCTGAATCATATTCAGTCGTACAGTTTTTAACTTTCGCTGGTAGCCACCTTATCATTCAAAATGTAAATTTAATTGTTAAGAATTGTCGATTCAATGTGTGTAGTTTCGTTATTGATAAACGAAGAAATAAAACCAGGTGAAACTAAGACACGGCGACTTTGAAGTGAGGCTGACAGGTGAACCCTTCCCACTTTATCCAGGAGAGGCACTTCAAGAAATTGTAACCAAACTTAAAGCTGTTCCTCGTGACTCGGCTTTGCGGTTAGAAGCCGTCATGGACTTCAAGGACGGAGAAATAGAACGACTTGCTTTGGATCAGTGGCTTTTTGAGGGACCAGGTACGTTTTTGAAAGTTGAAATTTGTTTCCTACTTTTCCGATTCAGTAAACGTTTGAGCTCAATATAATTTAACACAAGTTTGAGATGTTTCAACACCCAATCTGTCCAGGAACGTACATTCCCCGAGTTGAGGTTGAGATAGTTGAGACGATCGTGGCAACTATAATCCCTTATTTGTTATATACCGATCCCCTTCATTAACAATCGATAAGTGTCAATCAATGTTATCTAATCTGTCCGTAGCGATTGAAAATCTAGCCCCTAATACCGAACTAATCATGATGGGAGATTTCAATCTTCCTGATGTTGTGTGGGATTTAGGTGTAGTTAAATGTCCGAATAATTCAATTAATCAAAAATTCCTGATTCAACAGTGCTATCTTGATTTTTTCGCAAAACATGATCTCAGTTGGGTTATCGGAGACGATGTTAAAACTCGCAGAAGGAAGGTTTTAACAACAGTGCAATCGTCAACTCTTGACAATGTTATGACTTCAGACCCCGCCATATTTCAGGAAGTTCAAATAACCGCACCGCTGGGAAAATCAGACCATGTGGGAATTATCAGTAAGTGGTCAATTGCTAACCATGATGAGTATGTGACTCAACAGAAGAAAAATTGGTCAAAAGCAAACAAAGATCTAATCATTGATACAGCAGGGCCGCTGCAATGGAGTGCCAATCATGACTTGACTATTGAAGAGCACTGGAATCTGATTCAGGCCAATGCCAACACCATTGCTGAAGCTGTCCCAGTCGTCAAATTGAGGATAAATCGTGCAGGTGCAATAAAATCACGATCGGTCTGGGACAAACCATGTCTAATCAAGGCACGGAAGCTAAAAGAAAAACTGTGGTCTATTTTTGAAAACGACCCGACATCAAAAAACCTGAATCATGCACTACATCAGCAGAGTGCTTACGAGAAGAAGCAACAGCAGCTCATGATATGCTATGAGAATAAAGCAGCAGCCCAGCTAAAAATAAATCCAAAAGCTTTCTACAGCTATATGAACTCCAAGCGCAAGATTAGGGCTGCAATATCTGGAATCAGAGATGCTAGTGGGGATGAACTCCACTCAGCACATGATAGCGAGTGGAGCATCGTCAAAGGGTCACTTCTGGGATCTCAGCGAAACCTTGATGTCAAAAATAAATACATGTGAGCATGATTCATATGCACATTTCATGTCTAATAACCCATTGATTGCTAAATACCGAGGAATCAATGTTTCTTGATTGTTAAATTCAGAACTACATGTTAACGTCCTAAAAATAATTAATCATTAAATGTTCCGGATAGGAACATTTTTCTTTTTGATAATATTGTGCGAACTGCAATAGCGTAGAGTGCAGTTGGGTTTCAAGTTTTGTCGGGATGGCCATGTGGCCATAATCCTATTATTATTATTATTACACACCTCACACTGCACTCAAACTCAGAGCTAAAAAAGACTGCAAGGTTTATATCTACCATCTTGTTATTTATTTGCACTAGATTATTTGTTTTCTTTTCATAACAATAAAGCAAAATCCGTTGATTATAGTATGTACATATTTTAAATTCTCAACCTAATCTAACCAATAGCTATTTCACTGACATGTCTGGTATAATGTTTACTCATTGTTTAGTCACGTGATCACTGATCAGCTTGTTCATCACAGGATAGGGAAGGTAAGAGCAGGGTGTACGGAGAAGTATGGTTGGTCAGCAAACCAGGAGCATATCTGCCGGGACCTCACGAGAAAATAGTTGGCACTCTGACAGCACACCAACTCAACAACAAGCTGGCTCTCCATGTTGTGGCTAAGCAGACTTTTACTGATAGATTCAGGAAGAAGAGAAGGGCTGGAGAGGAGTGGCTGGTCACTGAAAAGGTAAACTATCAAAGTAATCAAACTTTTAGTAGTTTGCTTAGATATTACAATATGGTATCGATAGCTGAATCATAAGCATACCATCAAATTTGTACATTTCAACCTTGATTGTGCTGTATGTATTGGAAACTTAAAGCCGATGACAATTCATACATAACTAAAATTACAGGATGCTGAGTCGTTTATTCCTGACGTGTATGAAGAAGTAAAAGAATCAGTGTCAGTAACCATACTTACTAACAGACAGTTCTGTATTATTCTAGATCCAATCGGGGCTGATGGTAAAAACCAGTTTGGAAGCAAGAAACTCGTCAGGGTAAGGAATTTCCTATCAAACATCTGTATAATATTTCCTAAAACCTTATCATTCAGACGATAACAGCAGTTTCTGCATCGGAATTTAGGTGGAGTATGTTGAATTATCGAATGGTTGTTATATCCGACGAGGTTTGACCAATTTTATTTCAGGGAGAAAAGGAGTTTTTCTTGCATCCAGGCGAAACGTTAGAAAGTGGGAAAGTGCAGGATATCTGTATTCTTCTAGAGGATGAGGCTGTTGTTCTCAGGGCTATTCTTCCATTCACAGATGGCGTAAGAATTTAAATAACTTACAAACACTTCATGTTTTGACTATGATTTATAAAACCTATATTGTGGCAGTTACAGAAATGTTGAAATTGACTCCGTCTTGTAAAATATCAGAGAAAAAAATAGAACACTACACCCAGATATTTGTAAAGTATAAAATCAATAAATTTATAAACACAATAGGACTGGTATTTTTATTACAGGATGTCCAAAGAACCCCAGGAGACAGATGGATGGTGAAAGGACCACAAGACTTTTGCCCTACAGTCGAGATGGAGATTGTCTCCAGAAGAAAAGCCATGCCATTGGATGAAAATGAGGGTGTTTATATTAGAAATGTTAAGACTGGAAAGGTGAGATTTTGATTCAGAACTACTGCTATTTCACCTTTCAGTCTTTCTGTTTGCGATGACGTGAACTTTAGGGAAACATTTAACCCTTGATTTAAATTTCAAAATGTTTTTTAAACGATATACGACATTCCAGGTTCGTGCAGTTATCGGAGAGACGTACATTAACAACCAAGACGAGGAACTGTACTCCAAAGAGTTGCCGGAGCAGATAGAGAAGCTTCTAGCAGCTGCTCAGAACCCGCTGGTTGGGAGAGAGAAACTCCGTGGTGGTGAAAGCAAAGAGGTGACCACGAAACCGAGGGATAAGACGAGAGTTATCGCTTATCAGGTCCCCCACAACTCTGCTGTTCAAGTGTTCGACTACAAGAGTAAAGTTTCTAGGTGAGATTATAGAACACCAAATATCATTATAATATATATACATATATACGTGTTATGCTTGCTAACAAAAGTAATAATTATATTAGTAAGTATTATATAATATATATTATTATTTTACGGCTTAGTGGCTCAGTTGGTTAATCCGCCTGGTATTGCTTGAGGTACCAGGTTCGATTCCCGACTCTGTCACTAGCCGTGGGGTGAGCGTCGTCGACGCTCAGCTAAGGATCCTGAGTGGTCTATGCAGCCCCCCGGTCCAATCAGCCAAATACTCGAGAAATCGGGTGTGAGGGTTAAATGAGGAGCTGCCCATTGCAGCAAAGTCTCGGGCGAAGAAAGTATGGTACACACTACCTTAACCGTCACTGGCCTAATGTATAATTGAATCCTTCGGCTTCCTGTAATTGGCTGGTTACACACTTGTGTAACAATGTGGCTGTTGGAATGTCCGAAGTAAAATAAGTGTTGAGATTGAGATAAAAAGTATAGCTTCGGCCTTCGAACCTCAAATTAGCTAAGTACCCAATTAATTTACATCAGAACTTTTTCTCTTCTTTCACCACTGGTTGCAGGTGTTGATGTGCACTTATAGTATACAATCAAACTTCTTCTAAACAAAGATACTAGTCTGTTCTATGAGGTTTAAACCAGTCTTCAAGTGCATTAGCTTGTACTTTCAACCTCCAAGTGAGTGTCATCTGACATCTCAATCACTTCATTGGTTGCCGTCTATAGAGACTTAGCACTTGAGCAGTGAGCACTTTGTGAATAAAAGTATAAATCCATACTGGTCAGGTAACCCAAGACTTAAATTTCTGGGGATCTGAAATAATGCTATTGTTTTGAAGAAGAGTTGTGTTGAGCGTTTGAATGAAATGAACAAGTCAGTAGTGATGGTTTGCAGCCGCAGTCGCCCCAAGATAAACAAGTGCGAAATCTTAAGATTGATGGTAGTCACTAGTCCTGAACAGTACATGAAAACGACGTATCTCGAGGCGGGTCGCCTCGAGATACGTCTTTTTCATGTGTACATGGCTAATGCTATTGTTTTAGAATTTCCATGCTTTGTTTTCGAAAGTTCACTCTCATACGAACTAAACAGCGATAGTTTTGATAATTTGTGATTCTTTTCAGTTCAGTAAATACACTTTTCAATACGTTGTTACTCGCTTATCAGTTACTTATCATTACGTTGATAAGACTTGCTTGTTTAACCGGTGCCGTGGTTGTGCGATGTATAAATCTGAGAAATACGTGGGTTATAAGCTTGATGAAGTGAGAGATGATGGAGCTGAATGGATCCGGAAAACTCTCGCGCTTGTTAAATCAAGTCATGTTAACGCGTGTGTAGCCCAGGCTTTCATTGGTAGAAGAGAAATCACTAGGGAAGTCATGGCTCAGAGTCTCAATTCTGCGTTAAAAATTATGTATAGGCAATCATTGTACATTGATCAGCTGGAGAAGTATAACCAGAAATTGCACTCCGATGTAATTGACAGCCAGGGGAAAATAGTTGTATTGCAGAAAGAGCTGCTAGCTGCCAAAGACGAGCAGCTTGATTACTTGAAATCTGAGGTTGTAGCATCAGTTGAGAATACTGTGAAATCCGAGTTAAAGACATACAGCGCCGCGGTAAAGGAATCAAAAACCTCAACAGCAGGTCCATTGTTGGATTCGGATAGAAACATCTTGAAGAATGTCATTAAGGATGTTGTAGCAGAAGGAGACCGAAGTCGGAATCTGATGTTGTTTGGTCTTAAAGAAGAGAAAGGTGAGCTGTTATGTGACAGGGTCGGTCAAGTGTTGTTGGAACTTGGTGAAAAGCCAAAAATAGAAGCTAGCAGAATTGGTTTGATAAAATCCAAGGATAAGAAACAGGTGGCTGATAGACCTGTTAAGGTGACTTTGACGAGCTCCACAATCGTGCAGCAGATTTTGACTAGAGCAAGGAATCTCCGTAGCTCGGAGCATTTCGGTAAAGTATTCATCAGTCCGGATAGGTCTCCAGAGGAACGTGCCGAACAGCAAAAGCTTGTTTTAGAACTCAAGAAGAGATCAAACGACGAGCCAGATAAGAGACACTTCATTAAAGGAGGCAAAGTGTGTAGTGTTGACAAAACTGTTGTTTGAAATGTGTTAAGACAGAGTTTTGTTTGGATTTTTGGATTCGTGGCTCGCTAAGATTTTAATTTTTTGATAAGCTTCTAAATCACATTCGTCTTTCAACACAAGACCGTCGGTCTTCTAGAATTTTGTTTTGATTTGTGTATTAAGCTCTGAAGTATTTAGTCTTACTTCCAGGTCCATAATTTTGTGAAGTGTATATTTTTAGAGTTATTATGGTTTTATATTAGCAGATTTAGGTATATAACTATTCTATATAATTGTATGTATAAATACTTGAGTAAACATTAACCAGTAAACAAAGCTGGTTCCAATCCGTCTGGTTTCTGTTGTTCCTTCCTGTAAAACTTGACGACGATACAGTTCCGATTCAAATAAATATGTGATAAGTAAATATCACCTGTGACTTCACTAGGGGTCAGTTACATACATGTGACGTAATTTCTAAGCTGCAAGCGGTTGTCTCGCAATGTTTCAGCATTCGTTATAATATTAACGCAGGGAGGTTGAATATAGTCTTTCTAAACAAACCAACATTCCATACAAAACTTAACCCATTCTGTATATTACGATCTGATGATGCTCTAGTCGGTCTAGTGTATGATATAAACTACTGGTGTACCACTGGTATTCCTCCCCTTTTGATAAGTGTTTCATTTGTAGTGACAATCACAAGGCCAGACCGGTATTAGCATGGTGTCCTCAGACAAAAAATTCCAAGCATCAATGACGATATTTTACTTTACTTTGCTGTTCCTGGTGTGTAATTTGCCGGCTTTCATTAATGGTCTCATGTTTGTCATAACTGTAAAGATTTACAAAAATCCTGAACTTATTTTCAACTCCAACGGATTCATGTCATATTATTGGCTTTGCATATCTAACATGTTTTTTGTGGTATTGAATGCAGCTTTGAATCCCGTTCTTTACATTAGGCGGATGAAAGAATTAAAGACATTTATTTGTAGGCTTATCTGTGTCCAAAGATCCGCCCTAAATTCTGGTACGTGAGGTATGGCATTATCCAACTGTTAGCACTGTAAAACATGAAGATTTCAGATTATAATAATGATTAATACGGTAAATTAATACATAGTGTCACATGCTTACCTAACAGTTTTGAATCAAAACTTTTGATTAACTAAAGAGCAGATAATTGTGTACAAGTTTTAATAAATTATTTCCGTACAAAGTTCACCAAATGCGGTCGAGAAGTCTTGTACTTACAAGAACAGCAATATTTCTTTTAAATTCATGTAGGTTTTGACATCTAGATTTTTGATTTAAACACTCTTGAATTGTTCGAAAGATCTGGAATCTTGTATAGTTATACCCTCTTCTGGATACAATATGACTGAACAGTACACCCTAGCTCTGGAAATTGCCTGATAAAGCAAACTCAGCTGCATTTCATAGTCACGGAACAGTTTGTGGAGGATGAGAACCGTTGGCCATTCAGCAGAGTTACTCTTCCCTATCGAACAAAATGCGATCTCTGTTTCAGAATTGGTAGACAAATCACTTAGCATGTCCTTAATCGCCGATTTGAATGTATTTTTCAGGGTGGGATAAAGAACTGCAATTTCATTTTCCAGTGATTTAAAACATGAAACACCGTTCTTGGTCCATGAATAAAATGACCGGGGCTTTGTGTGGGCAGAAGAGCGTGAAAAACAGCTGATCTCTCTGAATCAAACTTTTTCGTATTGATTCCTAGTTTACATGCACCATTTCCCTGTATCCGATCACATGCTAACCAAACAGTTTTATTAGCAGATAAATTTTTCAAAGTTTCAATCAAGTCGCTGTACTCTTGCACCCTGTTCATCCACATTTCACTGTGAACATCATCCACAAACACATGATACTGGTGCAATAAGCTGATAGTTTCAATAAGCCTCGGTAGATCAAAACAACTTATTAACTTATAATCACCATGAGTATACTTCAAACTGTGGAGAACTACTACATCATTCCCCCTCAGTCCCTCCAGTGCCCTATAAACCACAACCTCGGCCTCATAATCCCGCTGCCTCTGCTGATTTGACTTGTTGTTGCTGCTCAACTCAGCTCCCTCTTGATATCTGTCAATGTAGGGGGACAAGTTAGGGACAGGAGGTATCATTACAGGGCTTATCTTGTTAGATGGAGAATAGTTAGCGAGGATATCTTTTCCTGCTGCTAGTAACCACTGTATTCTCCGCTCTTCTGAAATTAGTAGGGTGATATATTATCAATGGCTGGGTATTTGAATATACCACGTAAAGTTATCTAGAACTATTACAACTGATTGGTTTTGCGGCACGATCGATAAGAAGTAAAAGTCGATGGTTGACTGATGATCGCCCAAAGTAAAAGTAACTACGTAGAAATGTATCGAGATCAAAGCAAGCCCTCTTGATCCTTCTTCCAAGGAGTAAGTAGTACAGACATAAATCAGTGTATGTTTAACGGTACACTTTACAAAGTACGCACCGTGTGGTTTTCTCTGTCCTCCTGATGTAGACGGAAGTTGATTTAAGTTCATTTCCTTATTTTGATAATGAAACGAATATCAAACTGTGTGTAATGACTAATGTCTCTACAGAAAACAGGTGATAAACTGAACAACTCATGACAATTCAGTACACTACACAGCAGAACACAGCGACTAAGAAAGGGAACAGGATCACTCTAACAATGATTATGGAGCCCAGAATGAGGATGATAATATGCAGCAGCCAGCATGATATTCAATAAGACACTCGTAGATCTGGTCACGTGTTGTGTCACGTGTATACACGTAACCACGCAGTGATACCCGCCCCGTTATGAAACTGATATCTTATACGACAAGATGGTACATTCTCTCTTACATCGGCAGCGCGCATTGCCTCTCTCCAGTCGACAAGAATCACAACGTTGAACAATAGCGATAATGTGGAGCTAGCCACACTCACTCCACAGTATAGTCAAGCAAGTACAAGTGCACGATAATGATCTGTCCTTATCGTCATCATCATGGTCACCATGCCATGGTGTCCACTCACACAGTGCTGTTTTCATGTTTCTGTGGGTAATAATCACTAGCGAAAGAGAAGCTTGGGATTGTGTGACACACACACGCACATGTAAATTGCACATTTCTGACTCGATGAAATATACATCCTGGCCTTGCTTGCTCGTTCTAAGCCTAATTTAACGCGCACCAAATAACTTTACGGAACGCGCTAATCCTATCTCATTTTGAGTAATACATTTCGCGCGACGCGACGAATGTTATTAATTATAAATTTAATTATTCGGTGTACCTTAGTTCCCAAAAATGATTATCTTAAAATTTAGCTCTAATTAAAGAACCTCTCACCCTCTCAGAAAACTCCGTTTGGAGATATTCCTTATTACGCTCTAAGTTATTAATTTTCCTTGTGTTTGAATCCTGTCACTTTTTAACTGTTTTTAGTCTTTGTTATTTTCGGCCGATTTCTGCACTTTTACACTGGGTCATCTTCATAATTTCTGGGATTGAGACGACTTATATCAGCATTTAAGGAAGAGTTTGCTTGTCTGACTTACTTCATTAGACACTTCTGGTCAAGAACTGAACAAGAATCACATTCGAAAACTGGAACATCTGAATGACTCCGCAACCCAGGAATCAACTACTCAGTTATTATCGCTCAATAATCGGTTTGGTATCGACGTTACATACTTTATTATTTTTTTTTAAAAAGCTGATTTTAGAAACCAGGGAATTAAAGTTACCCTCCTAAGGCTAACATTAAATCGCTGATTTTGTTTATATATATCACTTTTTTTTGTTCTTTCTTTTCTTTCAAAACATTCCAGTACATTGTGCAGAAAGTTGGAGATGAAGCCGTAGTACGTACATGTAGCATTGCACTGGATCGAACTTGCAGAGTGTGGTTTCCTCCAGTCTGCGCCGCGCGCTTATAATTATATAAACATATGCGGCGCAGATCGACTGGAGGAGATTGCACTGTGTAGGCTCCGGTGTAATGTGATATGTATGTACTACGGCTTTACAAATTTTGGAAGCATGTAGGGATACATATCTGATACCAATCGTATATACTAAAAATACTCTAGCACAATTGTAACTGCAGTTTTACAGAACTCTAAATGCTTAATGAACACTCTTGCAGGTACCACCCGTATTCACACTCAGACCTGAGTTTAGTCATTTTCCGATACGAGATTGGGGACGGGTTCTATAAACAAACAAACAAACAAACAGTTCCCAAAAATTTGTGTGCCATTATATTGAGCACAATTTATTTGAGCCCGAAAAATTTGGGCAGAAAATTTGAACTCATTTGGGCGACCGAAAATTTGGGCACAAATTCTTCGAAAAATGAACGATTTTCCACTAAAATTTTAGTTAGATATTTGCCTTAGTTCATTATTATTCCTTATTATTCCAGTCATTTTGCTTTCAATTTTAAGCATGTAGGTGGTAGTCTGAGTTGTTTCACATTATGAAATTTACGATCTGCCCAGTTACCCAGTAACTACTAAAAAATACAGTGATGATGGCACAGTACAAAATGATAGATATACAATAGTGATATTTAGTCTCTCTTTAGCCCCTGGACATATCTATCAATGGACTGGCTAAGAAAGTCATGCACAATAAGTACGAAGATTGGTACGCGAAAAACATAGTGTGTCAGCTCAATGGAGGAGTTTCATCAGACAATGTGAAAATTGATACCCGCTTGACAGTGATCCGTGATGTACACGCTCGTTGGATCAACGAACTTTTTGTTTATTTAAAAGGGAGGCCAGATGACATAAGGAAAGGCTTTGAGAAATCGGGTATAACTGATGCTTGTAGATCAGACTTTACGGTGGATGATAATCCATTTGCAGATCTTGTTTAAATCTCTAGCTATCTGTACCTCTAGCCATTTGTTTTATTAGTAGCTGTTAGCTATTCCAGTTATTTCTATTCATTTAAAATATAAACCTTTTACTTGGTCAAGCCATGAATGACAGATTAGAAAACTAAAATTTCAAATATTATTTCACTTGGATATGAAGAAAAAGCCATCTTTCTATAGATTTCAGGGCCACAGGCCAAATGCCAAAAGTTTGGTTAGCAAAAAATTTAGCAGACGGAAAAGATTTATGCAATAAATTTGGTCTGCAACAAATTTGGGCGAGAGGCCCGCTCAAATTTTTGGTCGCCCAAATTTTTGGGAATTAAGGTACATAATTTAATTTAATTTTGTACCCACATTTTAATTCACGGCCTCTCAGAACTCAGAAGTGAGTGGTATTTCTGTATTGTATTAAGGATATTAGATTAAGCCATCAGATGCAACTAAACTGTACATTTCAGGGTGATATTTGGACCTGACTTAGTCATGCTGGGACCGGACGAACATTTCACGCAACTCAGTTTATCTGGAGGCCAGCCAAAACGACCCAATGTTGTCAGGACCCTCGACCTCTCACTCGGACCAGACTTTATGACGGATGTATTTACTGTGGAGACTTCTGATCATGCCAGACTTTCATTGCAGCTCTGTTACAATTGGTAGGAGTCAGATTATTTTAAGTAATCAAACAACTATCCCACTGGATGATCAATGATACAACATAGATTATATCTGTGAAATGACTTTTTCAATATGATAATTGATCTGGAATACCCGATTGTTGTACAATTAATGTCATAGATTGATAATATTGAATACGCATGGCATTTATTCAAACCACTCTCATTACTAAACGGCGAATCTGTACTCCACAATCTTTTGTACTCATCCTCATACAGGCAATTTGAGTTACCAGCAAGTGATTCCCCTACTTACAAATGTGACTCGGAATCACTGTTCTCAGTGCCGGACTTTGTCGGAGACGCTTGTAAATCCATAGCTTCCAAGATTAGAGGAGCTGTTGCAGCTGTACCTTTTGATGACTTTCATAAGGTGAGTAGTATGAACAATGCACTCTGGTTTTAATAGGGTGAATGATTTTGATAGGGCGAAGTAAATTTTTTGATACCGTAAACTGTTGAATCGTGCTCATCTATCAATAGCAGGATTTCATCTCTCCAAGGCAGTTGATCGTGAAGTTTCAAATTTTTGAGATATTCTATTTCCCCAAGCGTAAGGGTAACGCCACGTTATTTTCAGCATTCTGCACGAATAATAAACGAATCCATCCTGGGTAGCCATGACTCCCTCCACTTCCCTGCAAACCGTCTGAGGATCACAAATATTGACATACAGTCGGTAGAGCCGGTAGATCAGCGAACAAGGGACTCTCTCATGAAGTCGGTACAACTTGCCATTGAGATAACAACCAACTCCCAGGAAGCCACAGCTAGGTTGGTGCTTCAGGTTATTTATCTGTATTCCTTAGCAGTGCAATTTTCGTTAAAAAGTGGTTAAAGTATAGATTAAGTATCGACTTACTCGACTTAGGGCGGCTTCAATGTCCGAACAGAGATAGTTTTCTTCCAAATCTGTCTATCATGAGTTTGTTAGTCTCCTTGCTGTCGTCAAGCCCCGTGTACTTCCGAAGGATGTCAATAAATGTGAGGTGTGGTCTTCCCCTTCAACGATGTCCTTGAAGGGGTTCCCAGAAGAGAAGTTGATGACTCAATAGTTCTTCATGTCTGGCTAAATGGCCTGCGAGTCTCATCCTCCGTGCAGCTATCTTATCAGATGCTCTGATGAGGTGTCCATACACCTTGGCGTTAGTCTGCCGCTCTTTCCAGTCAATGTTAAGTGCCATCCTCAGCATTCTCGTATAACATCCATCAATACGTTTTGTGAGGGTCTGGCTGACAGTCCATGTTTCAGAGCCATATAGAAGGATGGACTCGACTGTAGCCAGGAACAGTCGTATCTTGAGATCTCTACGCATATCCGACTTCCATACAAGCTTCATCTGGTGACACGCTCCCCATGCCTTAGCTTTCCTCACTTCGAAGTCCTTCTCCGAACTCTTCATTCTACTACCCAAATATACAAACTACAAAGCCATCGACTAAGATTAAGTATACGAATATCGTATAATAAATCTCTATGTGTAGTGCATTGGTTAAGATTATTAAATTATCATGAATACGGGAAACCTTTAACCACCTTTTCTCTTACTCTAATACTGGTTTTAGGTTATTGTCTAGGTTTTAGTTGTGGTATATAGTAGGCATATTTCAGGCATGAAGCAGAAAGACTGGACCAGGAGGCGATGGGTAGATTAGAACGACAGAAACTTAGTGATGAGGCTGAAGAAGAGAAATCTCGCTTGGAACTACTTGAACTTCAAGCAATGTAGGGCTGAAACAAAGATTACCATCATTTACATTTACTAGCAATGTATCTACTTTTCAATACTAATTGATAGTTGATACTGTATCACCATGATTATCCTAACAATAATGGTTTCCTCTAAACAGCTCAGCCGCCGTTGAGAGTACCGGACAAGCAATAGCAGAGGCTCAGTCCCGGGCTGAGTCAATGAAAATAGAGGGCGAAGCTGCGGTGGATCAGGCCAAACTTGCAGCTGAAGCCCAAAACATCAACGCTGTAAGTTTAAATCCTAACTGTTTATCTTACAGTTTTACCCAACAAATATGTAGCATCGAAATAAAGGATATATAGGAACATATCCTTCAAGTATCCCTTAAATCAATGGATGTATGTATTTGAATTGAATTACTCCAGTAGCAGGGAGGAGTTGAGTGTGCACTTCGATGTACAGAGTTTTTTGCTGCTGAATCGGGTTAAATAGGTCATTGGTAACTCAAAAAATCGAGGGCCGCCTGTTGTGTCGCTAGTCCCAACCCTGTGGAGCCACGCCCATATTTCATATCAGGTGCGTATATGGGAAATATGTATCTCAGCTTCTGAAGGTCTTAGAGACTTAAACTTGAGTTTAAAATGACCGCAATACACATGTTTATGTTGGTACTATGAAGGTCATGAAAGCCCAAAATGCTTATTTTTGGAAAAAATTCAGAAAAACCAATTTTCACTTGGGCGCGAGTAAAAAATCTACACTAGAAATTGAGTGAAAATCGAGTAAGCAGTTCAGTGTCTACCACATTTCTAAACACAGGGTCCTCTGTTAGGTCATTATTAATCAGAATTGATAAAGTAAGCAAATTTTATTAGTAGTTTCAACCCTGTGGAGCCACGCCCATATTTCATATTATGTGTGAATATCGGAAATTTGTATCTCAGCTTCTGAAGGTCTTAGAGACTCAAAGGTGGGCTTAAAATGACCGCAATGTACATGTTTATATTGGCACTATGAGGGTCATGAAGGCCCAGAATGCTTATTTTTTGGAAAAATTCAGTAAAACCGATTTTCAAGTTTGCGACACTTGGGCGTGAGTAAAAATCGACGCTTAGAAGTTAAGTGAAATCGAGTATGAAGTTCAGTGTCTGCAACGTTTCTAAACACAGGATCCTTTGTAAGGTCATTCTGAATCAGAATTGATAAGGTACAAAAATTCTATGAGTAGTTTCAACCCTAGGGAGCAAAACTCCTAAATTACCCCCAGGCGCAAATATATGACTTTTCTATCTCGGCTTCTGAACGTTGTAGGGGCCTCTCTTTGAGCTCAAACTAACTACGATGGCCACATTTATATACCAACTGTAAAGAAACATAGGGTCTATACTCTATAGTGCTTAGTTTTTAAAAACTCATTTAAAAACTGTTTTAACCTTCATGCATCATAAAATAGTAACATCAAACATGTACTTAATTATGGTATCTCGGGCTAAAAAAGTCTTATAGACATTTCCAGCACAGTAAAACGTTCAACATGAACACATTCGGATAACATTTATGGAGAAGCACATAGGTACCACCTAACTTTAATTTTGGTATAACTGCGAAAATACTCAGTTTCAGAAGCTCCTTCCAGCTATCTTAGGCTGCCATCAGCTCCCTCTCTGGGACTCTCTCCAGTACTGCTTGGCTATTATGGCTAATCAACTTGAATCCAACCTCATGTAGTAGAATCTACTTCTAGTTACCTTCTGCTAAGTCCATGTCAACTCTACCCAGCTACCACCACCAATATGTTATAATTTTAGATCTTTCTAGCAACCTCTGATATGAGTGCTGTATAACCTCTGCTGCATCCAACAATTTCTAGCTCATTAAGGAAGAGGAAATTTGCTGTTTCTAGCAACCTCTAAACGCCAGAATAAAATGTTGCTGATGGTTGCTAGACAGGGCAAGAAGTAGCCCAGGCCCACTACCCTAAGCTAAAGTTGCTAGAAATAGCAGAAGTTGGAGGAACCTTGGTGGTAGCTAAATAGAGGTAGCCGAAGTAGGTGGAGACAGCTGGAATTGGTGGTTTCTGCCATCTGGTGGTATAGTAGCTGGATAGAGGAAGAGGTAGCACTCATATCAGAAGTTGCTAGAAAGATCTAAAATTATAACATATTGGTGGTGGTAGCTGGGTAGAGTTGACATGGACTTAGCAGAAGGTAACTAGAAGTAGATTCTACTACATGAGGTTGGATTCAAGTTGATTAGCCATAATAGCCAAGCAGTACTGGAGAGAGTCCCAGAGAGGGAGCTGATGGCAGCCTAAGATAGCTGGAAGGAGCTTCTGAAACTGAGTATTTTCGCAGTTATACCAAAATTAAAGTTAGGTGGTACCTATGTGCTTCTCCATAAATGTTATCCGAATGTGTTCATGTTGAACGTTTTACTGTGCTGGAAATGTCTATAAGACTTTTTTAGCCCGAGATACCATAATTAAGTACATGTTTGATGTTACTATTTTATGATGCATGAAGGTTAAAACAGTTTTTAAATGAGTTTTTAAAAACTAAGCACTATAAAGTATAAACCCTATGTTTCTTTACAGTTGGTATATAAATGTGGCCATCGTGGTTAGTTTGAGCTCAAAGAGAGGCCCCTACAACGTTCAGAAGCCGAGATAGAAAAGTCATATATTTGCGCCTGGGGGTAATTTAGGAGTTTTGCTCCCTAGGGTTGAAACTACTCATAGAATTTTTGTACCTTATCAATTCTGATTCAGAATGACCTTACAAAGGATCCTGTGTTTAGAAACGTTGCAGACACTGAACTTCATACTCGATTTCACTTAACTTCTAAGCGTCGATTTTTACTCATGCCCAAGTGTCGCAAACTTGAAAATCGGTTTTACTGAATTTTTCCAAAAAATAAGCATTCTGGGCCTTCATGACCCTCATAGTGCCAATATAAACATGTACATTGCGGTCATTTTAAGCCCACCTTTGAGTCTCTAAGACCTTCAGAAGCTGAGATACAAATTTCCGATATTCACACATAATATGAAATATGGGCGTGGCTCCACAGGGTTGAAACTACTAATAAAATTTGCTTACTTTATCAATTCTGATTAAGAATGACCTAACAGAGGACCCTGTGTTTAGAAATGTGGTAGACACTGAACTGCTTACTCGATTTTCACTCAATTTCTAGTGTAGATTTTTTACTCGCGCCCAAGTGAAAATTGGTTTTTCTGAATTTTTTCCAAAAATAAGCATTTTGGGCTTTCATGACCTTCATAGTACCAACATAAACATGTGTATTGCGGTCATTTTAAACTCAAGTTTAAGTCTCTAAGACCTTCAGAAGCTGAGATACATATTTCCCATATACGCACCTGATATGAAATATGGGCGTGGCTCCACAGGGTTGGGACTAGCGACACAACAGGCGGCCCTCGATTTTTTGAGTTACCAATGACCTATTTAACCCGATTCAGCAGCAAAAAACTCTGTACATCGAAGTGCACACTCAACTCCTCCCTGCTACTGGAGTAAATATGGCGAATGCTATTTTTAACTTGTATAATTCTTCAGCGTGCTGAGCTGCACAGAATAACATCAGCCCGTAAAAGTGAGCTGGAGTACCTTCAGTCCACCAACGAGCTCGAGATATCCAAGAAACAGAAGATGGCAGATATAGAGTCGACTAGGTTCCAACGTATGGTGGAAGAATTGGGACCATTAAATATTGCTGCTATTGCAACCTCTGGAAAAGACAACCAGGTAACTTATAGCTGAATAAATGTCATACATTATTCGTCTTAAGCTCAAGGGTTGGGCCTGCTGTTCTGCAAGTTCGTCGAGAAGTGCAGAGTTATTAATTTGATTCAGTATGCACTAAACAGTATGTAACAGTCTTATAACTTCCTCAATGTGATATATCATTATCAGGTAAAAATGTTGGAAGCATTAGGGCTCAAGTCTACCCTCATCACTGATGGATCAACACCTCTTAACCTTTTCAACACGGCTAAAGGTCTCATCGGGGGAACTATTTCTACAAGTGATGTTAAAATTGGACTTGCGGAGTAAATAAAAAGTGGACACATGTGAATAGTATTGTATTCGTTTTAGTTTGATTTGATTAACAAATAATTTATGTTCGGATGACCTTGAGCTTTAATGGTTTCAGGTTTTATCATTAAAGCGGTTTTACTCTTTAATTTCAGTGATTAGCATATATATTGTTTGTAGCACTATTGAAATAGTTTTGACTGTAAATTTCTATAACATTCATTTGTCAGAAGATTGAGACTTTTGTAACCTGTAAAACTTACAACAATATTATTTGCAAATTTCAATTTAGTGAATCTTTAGTTTGTTTTAGTGAAATGTAACAGTTCATCAATTTATGCATTATAAGTTTGTTTGATATAACTGTTTTCTTTGGATGTTATTCACAATAGATCATACATTACCAGGGCTAGGGAGGTGATCCACAATTTTGTACACTCCTGACCACTGGTAGTCTTTGGACTGGTTGCTACTGGAAACTGATTGTATACCGACATCACGTGTCAATAAAACATGGATCACGGAGACAACTCATTTTAGTTAACAAATCAACAAATTAAAACTTGCCGTTAATGTTGTGTGAACGTAATTTATATCGTTATATCTCCAGTAATCATTAACAATAATTGAACATTGCCAAATATCCATTGCAACACACCTACAATCTACAATATACATTTCAATACATTTGGACTGGCTGATAAATACTCTTAAAACGCGGCTCAAATTTGCTTACTGAGTGACCGTTCACATATTATCTAGTTTAAATATTTTAGATTCCAACCCGGTCGGTCAGCAAGTTTACACATAGCTATCAATTATAACCATGTGATATGTGAACGATCCCTTGCAGTACTGTAAGATCTATTAATACAACTAATAATCTAACTAAAGCCCATCCAGCCACAAACCACTCCACAATGATTTAAATCATTTTTTGAAGATCAACAATTCTCATAATATTAATCTCAAGTCAATCTAATAAGGAATCTTAATTTGGAATTAATTAAACAATTTGTTACAAAGTACAAGCGGTATTTTGATTTGAATTAACTTAATTTGGGTCAGCAAAACGAGCTACTCATTTGAACTAAAATAAAGAACAAAAAGAAATTTTCCGGTACCAAAAGCTGATAATTTGAATCCCTTCGGACTTCAATGAACTATGATTTAATTGATCTATATTGTGCACAGAACCTGATCGGGTCACCTCAGTATTTATGTATCTAGTTATTTATTGAGAACTCGATAAAATGTCTGAATAAAATTGTCAATCTTTAGAACCCAAATTTCTTACATATCGTGATCGAGCTGCGACTTACTGAACCATGTACAATTTAAACTCAACAAGATGTACGTTTTTCCCGGTATAATATCGACTACACCGTAATCAAGTCATCCCAACTAATATGTTAACTAGAAGATCATCTATACGATTCCAACTTGTCTTGCGCCGCGTAGTACATGTCTGTCAACTGAAAATATTTGTTTTTTAATTAAATATTAAAATTAATTCAGAAAGTTCAAAATACCCTTGGCCATGCAACGGGTATAAACAAATATATATAAAAACTTACCTTGATAACATAAATATAAGACATTAGTACGCAATACATTTACATTTCATCATGCAAAAATAGCGGAGCCAAACAAAATTAATTGCAGAGCCAATTATCACTATTCCAGTGCGCACTGTGTGATATCACTATTTCAATGCGCACTGTGTGATATCACTATTTCAGTGCGCACTGTGTGATATCACTATTCCAGTGCGCACTGTGTGATATCACTATTCCAGTGCGCACTGTGTGATATCACTATTTCAGTGCGCACTGTGTGATAGAGCTTTTTGAGCCATGCGACTCACTTTTACTTGGACTTAATGGCGCTAAATTTAGAATAGACATTGAGCCCATATGCGGCGACCTAGTGATAGACTGTTATCAGTGCTCTGCATTTTATCTTGTTACAGGATTCGGGAACTCATGAAAGATAAAGATAATGCTCTAAAATAAAGAGATTGTTCACATTTTACATCAGATTTTTGTCCGGGTGAGGAGGAGGATCAAAAATGGACTTGAAAAAGTGACTGACGTAATTTGTGAACGATCTCACATGCCAAATTATGACATGATATGAGTGCTAATTCCAAAGATAAAATCAAAGCTAGATGCTCTCGCAAATAACATGAAGAAGTTTCAAGAAATACTATTTATAAACTTATCGAACAGGATGTATAAAACAGATAACATGATAATAGGCAAACTTAAAGTTCAATGAAGTAATTCAAAATAATATACATTATACATTGTATGTAATCACTTAACACGTCGAATAAGGAGGTTCGTCCCAAAAACAAAAAAAAATACCAGGGTGGTTCTTACCTTGCCAGAAATTCGCGTAGCTCCTTCACTAAGATTTGCTTTAACATTGGTCATGTCTGGTGTTTGAAAGTTCAGGTTCATGTTGGCTGCACTGTATCCTCCGAATGCACCAGCTGCAAAAGTGGGGACATTTCCAATAACAATCACCGTAGAAGATACAACTGTCAGTTCCAAAACCGTGGGTCAATTGAAATTGCATTGGTTCATCTAGAAATATTATTAATTAATTAATGTGGAATAACTTACATGCAGCTGGAGCGGGTCTGCCAAAGTACTGATCAGATGAGATTGAGGTAGCACCCCGGAAGTTATCAACATGTGGGTCGTGCTCTGGCTCAGCCTGAAATTCAATTTAAGGATAATAAAAGTGAAGATGAATCTACTACCGATACGTTATAATTTAGGTTATTTCTCGACTGTTTAATAGTGACTACTGTCAATTGATTAATTTTAGTATGTTTCTATGTTTTTAGTATTAAATTGAATTTTACTCACAGCATGGCCTCTGTTAAAGTACTGGTCTGAGGAGATTGCTTTGGCGTTCTTGTACTTTCCATCTTGAGCCTTGTCTCCAGAATCTCGTCCTTCGTTTGAGAGGGCTGCTTTTCTTTGCTCGTGCCTGAAAAGTTGTATACTAATCACTTAGCTATGACAGCGCCATGGGGCTTTAGCTTTACTAAAAGCAACTTAAATACGGAATCCATCAAAATGTTTTCCTGCTCAGTCCACTGACCGTTTCATTGCAGCAGTTTTTGGGTCCAGGATCTCTTGGACCATGTTGGCGTCATCAGTCTCCTTGTTCCCACCCTGGCCGAGCACTGAACTAAAGTCAGAGAGTGTGTCGTAATAGTCCTCAACATCATCAACATACGACGAGGGAGATGGCTTGGTGTACACATTCGGCGTTTCCTGCTCGACTACCTGGGTAGATTCTGTTGGTAAACTAAGGAGTAATGTGATTCTGGGGAACGCTTTCAATTGTTATTCACATATTATCTACAAAACATAATATATTTTCTGAATAGTGCTAACATTCAACGCCTCATTTCAATTTACCTTGGAGTTAGTTGACACATTGTGGGAAATATTAGATCGAACTCCAAGTCTGCCCATTCCCATACCTGAACATAGTTTTTATCAATATTAGCAACAAAAATTCTCAGTTTTTAAGACTTGCTGTGCGGCATTGTTAAAGTTTTTTGTCGTTCTTTAAGAGTTTCTTCTTTGAAATAAAGATCTGAAAAATATATATTAGTAAAGCTTAAAACAAGAAGACGTACCAAGTCTGTCACTGGATGTTTTGTTGGGACCAGATGCTGTTTCTCGACTGGTAGAGAGTGAGGCCTTTTGTTCAACATCACGTGATAGCATATCCCTGATAAGAACCATTCAATAGTGAAACAAGTAATGATATTGCTCATAACATATATAAGACAATACAGACAGGATATGCAGCAATAGTTACATTTTTTCAGCAATGTTTGTCATAAATTGTGTATGAATTAGTACTTACATAGCAGTTTGTCGATCTATGTTTTCTTGATCATTCCGTATGTCATTTTCTGCAGCTCTTCGTGAATCAACAGAAGACTCAATATCACCGATTTTTCTTGAAGTTTTCTTAGCTCCACCCATTCCTCCAAGCTGTAATTATTCAGATCTTCAAATAATTGTACTCGTAGAATACATAAACACAAGCTAAAAGAAATTCTTTCAAATTTGGGCGAGAGTATCGCCCAAAACAAATTGTCAAAAAATTTACCCCTCCTTTCTTTCTAGGGGCACCCTTTCTAGCAGAAGACAGGCCAGTAGCTGGAGTCAGCGATGGTACGTACGTTTGTTGGTTCGCTGAAATTATCATCTTACAACTTTAACACATCATTGAAGTCGAAAAATCAGTGGGATTGGTGAAACTAGACAAATAATAACATATAAAACGTTATTCTTACTTTTCAGAGGAGCGGGTTTGAAGGAAGATTGAAAAGTAGGCTGGAATGTTGACTGAGGCAGTGAGTCCGGTTTAGTGGGTTCCACGATTGGTGCAGGGTCTATGACTTCTGGAGGGGGATTTCTTTTAAAACATATAAGAGATACGAAAATTCTGTTTTAGTTTGTTTTATGACTTCTGGTTCTGCAGGTTGAAATGAAAGTAGGTTCATAATATTCAAGGGTAAATAAGTAACATATTTGAGAAGTGAAGTGATGGCTATGGTCTAAGAAAACTATTTTAACATGACTTTACGTACTTCAGCTCAAACGAGGTTCAACCAGTATCATTGACATTGATAAATCATTGTAAACAATTTGTGGGTATTTACCTGGGATAGCCTTAGGTGTCAACAAATCCTCAAAGAAATCAACTTCGACTGGCACAGGACTCTTTGGCGCTGTGTCCAAATGTAACTGAGAGTTAGGTCATATAATCTCAATTGTCCATTATCATAATGTTAATAACATATCGTATGTTATTTAATTTAATTGGTACATACAATTTACAGCTAGCGGTTTCACAATCCCGTGTGTTACGTAATATAGTAAACTTGAAAGGGAAACTTATTAATATCCAGATCGCGCGTTATAATGTAATCGTGCGTGTTTAGCGCAGATCATCTTACTTAAATATGCACGCGCGCTACAAAGTGTCAATATCACATTGTGACCGCCACGAATAACGCTGAAAGTTATTGAGCAGAGTAAATTAAGGGGAGAGTAGATTAAGATCAAAGAATAATAATAATAAGAGGAATATGAGCAAATAACCGCAAGAATTCAATAAAGCATTATGCACAAGTCTTACATGGATTCCGAGTTGAACGATTGGGTGTTGACTGTTGGGTTATTAGCCGCACGGAATATGTCATATGACTCTAGTTTACTATATTATATTTTCTAGCAGCTTCAGAATTGGATAAGTGACACGAAGTTGTAATGCTGCGTGACTGCTGTAATTCTTGCGTGCAATTAGTTTAATCATGATTTCTGTATACAGTGGTTAACTTATGTTGATAACTTTTAAAAATCCGATTAAGACACAAACGGTCAGCCAATAGCTAATAACGAACCATGGCGAAGTAATAAGTCACTAGGTTCCTTACTGTGTACTGAGAAGGACATTCAAAGAAGGAGAATCCTAGCTGAGATTGCTTTTAAGAACTTTGAAAAAGTATGGTTGTCCGGTAAGAAAATTTCCCTTGAAAGAAAGCTGAGGTTATATGATGCTCAAGTTGTATCTGTATTGATTTATAACTCAAATAGTTGGAGTCCTAAGAAAGCAACCATGGAGAAAATGGACACACTTCATCGTAGACACCTCAGGTCCATTTTAAACATTAAATGGCCTAAAGGTATGAAAAGCAACAAAGCATTGTATGAAAGGTGCAAAGTTGAAAAGTTATCCAAGCGTATCGAACACCAGCGGTGGAAGATGTTTGCACACATTCTCAGGAGTATATAGAACACCCCAGCCCAAACGGCTCTCCCTTTTGCTATTGAATCAGATAATTTATTAATTGGAAGATTGGGGAGACCTAGAATAAACTTGTTATCTGTTTTAAGAAGTGATTTAAGTAGTAGAAATTTGCAAATAGACAACTTGCATGAATTGAACGAAATTGGAGATATAGCTGCATGCAACAGATGTTGGGAAAATCTGTTTCAAGGGTACAGTTTACCGCATTAAGGTATTTTTAAGAATCATTTTTGTCGGTATGATCCTCTTTTATAATAATAAAAATAATAACTTAATAATCTGGCAAATGAAATATGAATCCAATGACATTTAAAATTCCCTAATCCTAACGAATTGTCCGATAATAGGAATACGGTTGTCTTCCAAGAACTGACAACTAAAAACAATGAATTACGCCCATTTCAGACTTGCACAAGTCAGCATATTTATATCTGAGGTTCTGTGATTAAATATATTTTGTTGTTTACAAAGGTTGACTCATAACATATTCAACCTCATTGATTACCTATCTGAAGCTGAATAGATCGATAATGACCTCACAATTACGAACCTGGTTTCCAAATCGTTGCTGTGTTTCTTGGGATTGATTTTCTATTTTCTTTCTGTATAATCGAGCTGCTCGGCTGAAATTTTTGAATCTTATTTAAAAATCTAATACAAACCGAAGCATTAAAGCGAGAAAAACTCATTTCATTATGGCTAAGTCTAAACCCCAATTTACTGTACCTCGATTATCTTTCCCCCAAAGTTTAAAAAAGTCTCTATTTTAGTTTGATATCACTTGATATTTTACAATACGGCTTTTAAACACTGTCAAATAAACTTGTCAGGCTTGTCATCTTATCCCTATTTACCCCTTACTTGAGTGCTTGTTAACCATAGCCCCTGATGGGAAAGCAGCACTGTGATCCCACTGGGACTCAATAATTAAAACACTGTACTGTTTTCCTTTCCCCAAGTGTATGGTAAATTGGGATACAATTAATGCTGTTAAGTGTTAATGAGTACCTGTTGTATTTCTGGACTGAGTCGGTTGTTGAACTGAGTCCATTTGCAGCGAAGAAAGCTTTCTGAACAAATATCGAGATCAATTAATTATTTAGTGCTAAACGAAATTCCATTTAGTTTAGCACGATTAGTCCCCTAATGATGTGGGTGTATTGATGTCCCCTGATTCTTATCATCAGTCACGTGACAAGGCATTTTCAGGTAAAATCAGTCCTTATTTTGTTCCATTGTATCCTGTATAACATAAATGATAATAATTAAAAGTTTTCGCTAAAAATACTCACAGCGTTTGCATTTCCCCCAATCTGCATAGCACGTAGCTGAACCCAAGTCCATTTGTCCAGATCAGTGCTCCTCACAAAGGACAGATGAACACCAAGGTTTCTGTGCTTGCTCGAACAGTCTAGACAGATCAGTACACCAAATGTCACGGATGACCAGGTGGGATTTACTTTGTTGCAGTCAAAACAAACCTGGAATATGTATTATTCAGCAAACTGACAGGCAGTCAGTGATAGTGGTGTTGACAAAATGGGGCAACTGCAAGTTATCTAAAGTGTTATAAAATGAAGGGTGGGTTCTAACCTTGTTTCCAGGAACATACTTCAATTTCTTGAAAACCTGCTCAATCTCGTCTTTTGTAGGAGCATCCATATCAACCAGCTTAAAATAATTCAAATTTTAAGTTTAAGAGTGAGTGGGTGTTTAAGGGCTGGGCAGCTAATACGACTTGGGAAATATCAAATAAACAGGAAAAGGGATCAGGAAAGGGATATCTGTTTACCGGGAAGAATTCAGAATTTGATTGCCAAATTTTTGAAATTTACTTAATCCTTATCAGTGAAGACACTTTTGCAAAAAACCATGAACTGTGAAATGGGCCATTTCGTAATTTTTGTTAGATTTGGCCTACATTTCATATTTTAAGTTTGTCTTATCCAAAAATATTGACACTTCACAAATGCAAAGTTATGGGCTGAATCTATCAAAATTGGTGCGTATGCCCAAATGTGGTCATATAGTTTTTTGCACACAACTCAAATTTTCGTTCAATTTTGATCAAACTTTCTAACCACGTTCAAGAGACTAGTAGCTAAGAGTTGAGTACACCAATCAAGACAAAATTAGACCAAACATAGTTATTGCTGCCCCATGGGCACCTGGAGTCCAGAATCCCCACCTGGAGTCCAGAATCCCCTCCCAATCCCGCGTAATCCCGCGTAATCCCGCATAATTCCACGTAATCCCGCAAGTGCGGGGTTAGACGGAAATTGGCGGGGCTATGTGCAACACCTAACCCCGCCAATCCCCGCGTAATCCCGCTGAATTCTGCAAGTGCGGGGTTAGACGGAAATTGGCGGGGTTAGGTGCTGCACCCCGCCTATTTTATACCCTCAAAAATTGCAGATTTGTGTGACTGCAGAGGCTACAAAATAAGCATTTAAGTCCCTCCAAGCCATTCTGAGGATGTTTATGGGTCGTTCACATATCAGTTGAGGGGGTTTCCAAATAAGGGGTTTCCAAATGTAATTTTGACACAATAGCTATGTGAAGACTGATTATGGAGGGGGGTTAAAAATTGTCCAATAAGTGATTACGTAATTATATGTGTTCAAGGACCCCTTAAGGGATCAAAAATCGACAGGTAATACATGCTAATCGATGTTACAAAATTGGCTGTGGAAAAGACACTGTGCACATATTTTCATCGAAGAGGATGGCTATGTCTCAAGTCTCAACTTAGCTTGAGATTCAGTCAAAGGTGCACCTCTATAATGAGTAATATCGATGTTACTGCACAACAACAAGAATAAAAAAGCCGGCCAACGCTCACTACAGACACACACACACTCACTACACACAGTCTTCACAGAGCTCAGCAATCAATTCTAAACAGGTAGCTGATTTTGGTAAAATAGCATCATGATCCAGCGTGATCAATTGTTTTAATTGAAGTACAACAGCTGCACCCCTGACTTTTTAACTAGAGAATCAGAGATATTGCATTGAGATAAGAGACATATTAGGACTTTTGTATTTTGATGAAATTTAAAGTTTGGTGTGTGAATTAAAACTTGGTGTGAGAATTAGTTTGGAAATAAAAGAGATATTTTTTTTAATTATATCATATATCTTAATTATGTGACAGTATTATTATTTTACCTACAGATTATATTATTTCAGTTAGTATCGACATGAATGTTACGATATTATTGCAGGTTATTTTTATATTATATTGTATTGAATAAACCGGTTTTAAAGCCCTTATAGAGGCTCTTACGGGCAAAAAGACGTGTTTTCTGCTATCAGCTAAACAAAAATTTCAGTTAAACAAAAATTTCAATTTTATGCCATTTATTACAGAGTAAACAAGTTTACACTAAATCAATTTGATATTTAAAGGAATCCTAATTCAATGTGTAGTATGGTTGTCACTCTTTAAATAGATTAGATATAGGTTGACGGGGCAAAGGAGTGTGCGTGCTGTTCGCTATTGCTCACACCAAACGGCAACCTAGTAAATGTTTTGTATGGACACCGGTCTCCATCACGATACAAAATTTTGTTTTACTAAAATTAAAAGAGTGACAGCCTACTGATTTAGAGTTGTTTTTAAGTGAGCATAATGGGTATATTTTTGGACCTAAAGGCTTCAGTATGGAAACTTTTCTTCTTTTAATCATTTATTAAATATCAATTTAAAATATATAAATTAAAATATATAATAAACCCTCTTAAAATTTGGCAAAAACGCTTACGGGGTGACAATATTCAAACTTCGATAAAGTATATGAAGTGGGTACTTCTCGGAAAGGAAAAATTTAGGCAAACACCATGTAATTATTTTTGGGTTGATTTAATACAACTGCAGAAAATTATTCAAACTTTAAGCTTGAAAAGGGCACATTTTGACCACCTTTTTGGATTTTTACCTGGGGAAAAATTAAGGGGTTTGTTTTGTTTTTATACCATCATCTGCGCGGCGACTGTATTTCAGCTATCTTCATGCAAATTTTGCTGATGTGCCAACAAAATTAACTTGCTCAAAAGTTCAAAAAACATGGTTTTATGGCCTATTTTTGGCCCAAAAATGCGGATTTTACCCGAGGAATTTTTACCCGAGGAAACTCAGACTTATCATTTCAAAACGACTTTAAATCGATTCTGCGGTCAAAAAAAAGTCTAGAATTGAAAGGTGTATCTGAAGTCCCTCGCGTATCGGGCAGAATATGCCTGTAAGAGCTTCTAGAACAAATTCGATAAACACACTATTGTAGGTGCCCAAGCTTGGTAGACATAGTCATGACTTAAGGGTATCATGTGCCATTAAATATGTATAATAAGGATATTGCGACCCAAGAAAAAGTTTAAAAGGGTTACCAAAGTGATTGACCTCAAATATCTATTTTTCAATATGGACTCGACTCATTGAAATTGAATAGATAGAATACAAATAGATAATAGGGAACTAAAAATTACAAGATGAGGTGTTATACTCATTGCAATTAAGTCAAACTTTCTCGGAAGACGATTCTGTCAGCTTGTTATAATAATAATAATAATAAATTAATGTTATTTTGATACAGCACCAAAAGGTTAAATAATTTAAATTTAACCCTTATAATAATAAATACAACTTTTATAAACCGCCTTATAGCTAAATCATATAACTCGATATAATTTAATCCTGGAGATAAACTCCAGTGCTTTCTAAAGCGGCTCTTACATTAACTGAGCTTAGTTTAATTGAAAATTAGACATGACAAGTTCATTTTACCTATGTAAATGCAAAATCAATCAAATGCTAGAGAAAAGAAGTATGTTTTAAGTTTGGTCTTGAAAGATGTAACTGACTCAGCTGATCTTATGTCGTATGGCAGGGAATTAAATACTTTAACTGCACAGTGACTAAAAGCTTTCTCTGTGTTTACATAGTTAGGAGAGGGCGGAAAACTAAGGTAAAAATAATCATTATCAAGACGTACATTTTTAAAACTTTGCTGCCTAGGAGATATCAACTCTTTTAAGTAAGGAGGAGCTATATTATTTAAACACTTGTAGGCAAGTAGGGCAATCTTAAAATCTATTCTAAATCTAACTGGTAGAAAATGAACTTTCTTAAGTAGTGGAGTAGTGTGTGCCTTTCTTCCTCTCCCGAAAATAAATCTTACAGCAGAATTTTGCACCTTCTGTAAACGACTTAAATCATAAGAGCTCAGTCCAAAATATACGCTATTGCAATAATCAATTCTAGAGAGTACTAGAGCATGAACAAGCTGAATCTTAAGGTTAAAAGACAGTTTTGATGCAATAAACCACAAATTTCTGATCTGAATATTACATGCTTGAACCACTGACGTAATCTGATCACTCATTGAAAGATAACTGTCCAAATACAGCCCAAGACTCTTCACAGTTCCACTAACAACATGTGGCTCTTGATCCTTAACAATCTGTAGAGAGGCTGGAATATTTTTTGAGTCAAATTTAGAGGATATAACGATGACTTCAGTCTTAGAAGAATTCAGTTGAAGGAAATTGTTTGTCATCCATTTCTTGATATCAGACATACAGTGTTCCATATTGTGCTCTAGCTGTGATGGGTCATCAGAATCAAGAGTGAAATACAGCTGGGTGTCATCAGCATACAAATGAATACAGCACCCATGCATACTTGCAATGTTCTCAAGATCTTTGGTGTACAATATGAATAGCAGGGGGCCAAGGATTGAACCTTGTGGCACACCTATCTCAAGAACAGTTGATGAGGAAGACGAATCCTTGACTTTAACACAAAATGAACGGTTAGCCAAGTAGGACCTGATCCATGTAAGAGCAATGCCTGTAATGCCATAGGCAGATCTTAGCTTCTTGATTAATCTTGGGTGATTGACAGTATCAAAGGCAGCACTCAAATCTAGAAGTAAAAGAACAACTTTAGTTTTCTTGTCAATAGTTATCAAGATGTCGTTATGGATTCTGGTTGTTGCAGTTTCACAGCTATGAAACTTCCTATAGCCGGACTGAACTTTAGAAAGCAAGTTGTTATCCTCAAGATAACTGGTGAGCTGTATAGATACACACTTCTCAATGATTTTTGACAAGAATGAGAGATTGCTAATAGGCCTATAGTTAGATAGTAATTCACCGTCAAGGCCACGTTTCTTCAAACTTGGACGAATGAGAGCCTCCTTAAGTTTTATAGGAAACTCAGCTGTAAATGATACCTAATGACAGTAGAGATCGTGCATCTCGCCTTGGACTGGAGTAAAAACGAAAGTTTATAGCTGCAAGTTAAATCCTGACTAAATAAGGCAGAAACACCTTTAACAAGAAGATATCCAAGAAAGGTTAGCAGGTTTTATAACAAAACATATGAAAAATAGATGATGACCACAAGAAATCTATGTATGAGACTCATGAGACTAACAAAAAGATATACAAGATAATAAAGATCTTATCTTACAGGATCCATGAAGACCAATTTGGCAGCAAGAAATTAAAAATAAACAAGGTGAAATTGAAAATATATGTCGCACGTGGTAGTATTCCATGAAGATAAATGGCAATCAACATAGTATAAAGATCAGGACCGCCACATCGGTGAAAAAACACAGTAACAAATAAAATTAAGCCATGGAACTACACTAACATACAAGCAACTGATG